ATTGAGGCAAAACACGTCTTAAATAATTTATATGCTTATTAAAATCCACTTCCCGATAAGCTTTTACAGCCTTCCAGTATGTCCATTTGTGATTTTTTATACCATCATACCTTGATTTTAGATTTCTGTACAAATAAACACCACAAAGTCCATGAAAAGCATCTGGGAAACACGTTCTAACAACGTTGTCAATTGAGTTTGCCCTATCGGATATGATTGTCAGATTACTAATAGGACATATGCAATCCCTAAGATGCCCCATAAACCATGTCCATGAATCAGAGGTTTCAGATTTGCTAATCCCGTAAGCTATTGGCAGTATCTCATTGTTAGCATCCATGCTACTGTTAATAAGTTTACTCCAAGGTATCGACCTTTCAAATGTGCTCCATTAACTATAATAATTGGGCGCATTGCAAGTAATAAACGAACGAATCTACAAAATAATATACACAAGAAATATAATCATTTAAATGTGAAATGCATGTAACTAACAAAAATGAGTCAACAAAATTATATTAATTTACTAACCGCAGCACCAATGGCGATAAACAGCAACTCAAAGCGTCCATCTCTATTTGTTTTGATATGAGTTGCCGACCCAGGATTTTTCAGCTTTAAATTGTGACAATAAGCTGTCAGTTGGGCAAACGATGCTTCTGAAGGCCCCCTCAACAATTTCAAGGCATAACATTTGGCTCTCCAAGCTTGAGAATATGAGATACTAATCTTGAACCGAGCATTCATGTCAGTCATAATTTCATGTCCCCGATATACCTTACTATTCAAAAACATTAACTCAGCCAGAAAACCACCCAACACCTTTTTGTTTGCATGTCTATGGTGAGGAAAAACTTGAGTTCTTGAACATGTATGTTTATTAATAAAAGTCCTAACTTGATACGAATAACTTTTGTGTAACAATCAACTGCTATCTTTACCAACTCTTCTTCCGGTATTTGAAGTAATTTTGGCATATTCCAGTTATACTCTCGTGGCATTTTCTTCTTTTTCTTTTCTTTGGGTACTTCTTCTTCTTCTTCTTCTTCTTCAGGGTTATATGAATTATAGAATGGATGTTCAACATGTTCATTCACAGTCCTAACTTCCTCCTTATTATTATCAACAACATCTTCCTCGGTAGCAGCTATTTCATCATCAAAATTTGAGTATTGACATATATCAAAATCATTACACATATGGTCTATTTCTTCTTTTGAAACATCATCAAAATCCGAGTATTAACCAAGATCAAAGTCCGGGTATTGGCCAAGATCAAATTTCGAATACTGACTAGTACTCACAATTTTTTCTGTTGGCTCATAATCGTCTAACTGGTTAATACGAAAACCAGAATTTAGTGCTAAAACTTGATTGGGATTTGGATTAGGAAAATGTTTTGGGTTTTGAGATTGTGTTTGGTATTGGAAATGTGGTGAAACAAAATTTTCTTGGTGATGAAATTGTGGTGGAACTATTAAATTTTGAGGTTGATAACAACGTTGTACATTGTGAGCACCATAAAATGGGGTTGAAAAACTTAGTTGATTACTACCCATTACTGACCCAACTTCACTACTTCTAGGTTCAACAACATACAATGTAACATCATCTTCTTGCGAAACACTAATGTAAGCAATGAATCGTTCAATATCTTCATTGTCGGTTAAGAAATAAACTTTACCTTTTCTCTGATAAGATAGCTTAAATCTACTTAGAGGCTGTAAATTCAATTTCTTTGCAACACGTAACATTAGAGTTTCATAAGTTAACTTTTTAACGACAGTTTTAGTTAAAGATTCATGGGTAAAGACATATATTGTAAAACACCATGAACATTCTCCCATGACCCTCCAAAACACAAATCTATCCAAAAATGACCAACATTATATGATTTTATTCTACAAATTGTAAATTAATTTACTAAACAAACGAGCTATAAACTACATATCATCACTAACTTAGAGAAAAAACATACCTTTATTTAGTTGATAGTTGATAATTTGGGAGAGAAATCATTAAAAAATTATATAGAAATAAAATTATGTAAAAAAATTAGAGATGGGGAAGGATGTCGTTGGATATAGAAACAGATGTCGCCGGAGAGAGTGATAGATGGAGATGAAATGAGTTTCGATTTAGGGATTTAGGTTATGAGTTGTTGCTGCTGCGTAGTTATATACCCAAAACATTTGTGTTGCAAAAATAAAACCTGTTGCGAAATTAAAATTTGTGTTGCGAATTCGAAAATCGAGTTGCGAATTCAGAAATTGAGTTGCGAATTTGAAATTCAGTATTGCGAATTTGGAAATCGCGTTCCGAATTTGTTGGTCATTTTCGTAAATCCAAAAAAAATTGATTAAAATCGTATATTATAAGACATTTTCGATCACTCAAATTATTTTATCTATTTATATTTGAAAATTTGATGTATACAAAATATAACAAGTTAAAGAAAAGGATAACATAAAGATGAAAATCCAGCTGAAGTGAAAAGGAGGTCCAGAACTGTCCAATCAGAGACAACAGCATAAGTTGCATTGTTGCAACCACCAATCCAGCTGTTTCACACATTTCTAAACCTTATCAATGCCCCTTTGTCTCTCTATCCTATACTTGTACACTTCAAACATTTTTTAAAAAAAATTAAAATTAAGAACGAGTGGATTTTGGATAAATAAATTGTATTAATTAATTTACTTAAATTTAACAGTATGTATTTAAAATTATTAAATAAATGAGAAAGAGTTAATATATGTGAATGCACACATAGAACCTTCCTCAATATGGCTTTCGATATAATTACCAAGTGGGACAGAATAGAATTCATGGTATCACGTGTCCACCCTTGGACTTGTTCTTAAATATCAAATCTAATTGTTTTTTTATTCAATCTCCCATCTTCTAGATCAATTTGCATATTTTCTTTCATTTCAAATGGCTCGTTTGTACTAAATTCCCAGATGACAGCATCTCTCTAGTTGCAGCTGGCAGCCTGTTTTCATTGTCAAACACACAATATTTTTGTCTGAAAAATCTTTACATAATTATTACTCCATACAAGACTCACATTAACATGGGCAGATCGATTAATATATATATGTGGTATATATAATATGAGATGATTATATAGTAGTGTTTATTTTAAAAATTATCAACTATTTGACCGTGAACGTTTAAACACCTATACAAATATCGTATTCAAACTTGGGACCTCTACGGATAACAACCACTCTTTTAACTATTTAGATTATTTGGATAGTACAAATACGTAGCAGTGGTAGATATAGAAACTTATAGGAGTTCAAAATTCTAATATTCTATTTTCTAAGAAAAATGGGTGTGCAATTTTCTTTATTTTCTTCATTTCCCTTAATATACTAAACTGGATTTAAAAAAAAATTCCAAAATAATGGGTATGCAATTTAACTCCATCAAAGCCATATACATCCGCCCCAGTCTGTAGTATATATAATATCGAGTTTATGAGATATTTACTAAAGAGGACAATGCTACATGAAAGCTAATATATATATTTTTGGATAGTGTTGGGCGATTACAAGGTAATATTGTTCAAATTTTTTTTAATCTATTGACAATGTATACAACCCTGCAGACGCAACTGTTCAAACCCAAAATTTCTAGATAGAATAATTTTTGTAGACTGATGCCTTTAGATAATATTATATTCCTCTCTCTCAAAAATTAAACATTAATTTTCACATCGCATTACATGCCAATACATATAATATATTTTAATATCTGAATTTGATTTTAAAATTTAATTTAATACATAATTTTTAGTACAACTAGATATATAAATTCGCTTTAGAAAAAAGCAATAATACCATATTGTTAAAGTTCATAAAGTGCGGTATTGATTTTTTAAGGTATCAATTATTTCTAGAGTGTTGTTGATTTTATCAATAATTTAACATGAAAATTATAAAAAAAGGATAGGTGTCAGTCACATGACTCCACCAGTGAAAATTTATAAAGATAATCCACATAATTTACACATAATGAGAGTTGGATTTGAGTCCTCAAGGACCCAAGACGTCTTTATTAACTCAACCAAAGTTTCTTTAGCATTACCCCTTAATTTTCTAAACTCAAACAACTTATTAATTTAATCTAATTTTCCGATTAAGTTTTACTTCAATTTATATTATTATAATTACAATATCTTAGTCTATGGATTTGATATTGTTTAAATGCAAATCAACACTTGATTTAAAAACGTAAAGAATCCTTGGAGTGGTTCCAATAGTAAAAAGGAGTTTTGTTCTTTTTTGATGACCTGGATTTGAACATCACAATCTACACGTACGTGAATTTAGATCCAAGTCTTTTTTTAAATAAATATTCAGAGAATTTTGAGAAAAAAGATCGAGCTCGAGCCTTGAAAGCATACTCTTAATTCATATTTTAGACGAATTAATTACTTTTAACCTATTTTCGAAACTAATATTTTTTTGCAAATCATCTTAAATATTAAATCACAAATAATCCGACCTTAAACATGTCTAAATCTTTTTAAAGATAGATATGGCCTTAAAAACACTGAATGTACACGGATGCAGTCATGTAAAAAGACAGATTGTGGGGGGAAGAACAAAAAGGATATGGGGATTTAACTTTAGCGTTTAATGGTAGTTGAAGTAAGATCATCTTAGATACGTGTGTAAATCTCAGAGAATGTTTCGTGAATTGAGGCGTAGTTGAATCCACAAAACAAGGAGCAGGAGAGATTAAATTGAAATAAAAAAGAGAGTATATTCCTCAAACTCAGCCTACTACAGTGATGACGTTGAACTTGAGAGAGACGTTCGTGATGTGTTGGATTGTGGGGCATTTCTGATTTGATATAAAAAGGACAACAATCACACCATTTTTTCTCCATCATCTCTCTCCCTCCTCCTTAACTTTTGAGCCTCTGATTTTTCAACAGATTTCTGAGTATTTGAAGCAAAAACCAACGGTTTCAAGCCTTCCCTGTTATGGAAAACAAGCAACTCCACCACCGCCACCACCACCAGCAGCAGCAGCAACGTCAAATGAATTCAAGATTCAAACGTGTATGTGTTTTTTGTGGTAGCAGTCCCGGAAAGAATCCTAGCTACCAGCTTGCTGCTATTCAGCTTGGCAAACAACTGGTATTTATCATTTATGAACCTCTTTTTTTTTAAAAAAAATTATCCTTTAATCTCACACATGTATTTCTAGTCTTCTTCGCCTGATAAATTCTGGGTTCTTTGCTTTTTACATCGACACCCAAACTGATGCTGAAAGGAATTCAGCCTTCTTCATTCTTGAATTGCTGAAAGCAAAGCTTTTTTTTTGCTGTTCAAAGTCATCCTTTCATTTGAGTTTTACTAATATTTAACTCTTTTCACAATAAAATAGTGGTGGGGGATGGAGTAATTGCAGGGGGAGAATATATAATTTAAATTAGAGACGTAAAGTTTAATAAAATGGATAAAATAAAACGTGCAGGTTGAAAGGAACATTGACTTGGTTTATGGAGGAGGAAGCATTGGTTTGATGGGCCTCGTCTCTCAAGCTGTCTTTGATGGTGGCCGCCACGTGTTGGGGTAATCAATTTTTAAAAATTATTACTGTTCTTTTCACAGTTTCAAATTCTTATCTAATTTTCTGAACCCCTTTCTTCCAGGGTAATTCCCAAGACTCTGATGCCAAGAGAGGTAAAATTTGGGTCATTTGATTTAAAAAAAAAACAGTATGTATTCTTCTTCTTAAAGTTGGGGTTTTGATTTCAGATTACAGGGGAGACAGTGGGAGAAGTAAGAGCTGTATCAGGCATGCACCAACGTAAAGCTGAAATGGCTCGCCAAGCTGATGCCTTTATTGCCTTACCAGGTGGATATGGAACCTTGGAAGAACTCCTGGAAGTCATCACCTGGGCTCAGCTTGGAATCCATGAAAAACCTGTAAGAATTTTCCCAGATTTTCACATGCAAAAAAGGTGCATAATTGAATACCCAAATTGAGTGTTTTTGGCATAACAGGTGGGATTATTGAACGTGGATGGGTATTACAACGCACTCTTATCATTCATAGACAAAGCTGTTGATGAAGGTTTCATAGCACCAGCTGCCAGGAACATAATTGTCTCTGCCCAAACTGCACAAGATCTCATGTGCAAGCTCGAGGTACATTCCCCCCCCCCCCAACAAACTCATTACTGTTGATCAATAGCTCAAGTCATCTGACCCGTCCATTTCCATTCTTGGGTTCATTTTGAGCACAGGAATATGAACCTAAACATTCTGGGGTAGCCAAGTTAAGCTGGGAAATGGAACAACAACTGGGTTTCAAGGCAAAATCAGAGATTGCTCGTTGATCCACAACCAGCTTTCGTTTATATTCAATCACAATTTTATGACCGTAGATTCTTACAACCCCCAACAGTCAAAACAATAACAACCCCCAACAGTCAAAACAATAACAACGACAACAACCTTGTAGACCCAAAGACAAAAGTTCCAGTTCTCAAGCTGTGAATTCTTTTTTGTTTGTTTGTTGTAATTGTTTAAGTATAATTATGACAAGGACAGAACAGTGTAAGCGACTATATTAGCTTTGCTAAATTATGTATACTTCTTAAATTATTGTTCTGGAAACTGTGGGTTTTTGTTGTTCTAAATTGCTTTGAAGTTTCAACAATTGCATAACAATAAAACAGGGAAGACCTTAACTTTCAGTACATTAATTTATAGTAAAATTTTGATATTTTTGATATTAGGTACGACGGGTCTAATGGATAGGGTAAAAAAGGAGTGCAAAAGCAAAGACGTTAGGCTAATAATTGTTCATGATGAGAGTTTTCAAATAACAAGACCACGTTTGGGGGTTGATTCTGAGTGGGCACTGCAGATTCAATAAAAAAGGTAAACGACACCTGTTATCGACTGTACTACAATGCGCAACGTGTGTTAAAAAAAAACAGAGAAAGCAATGGTGGAGAGAGGGAGTGGACCGACCTCTTTCCCCCCAAACAATTAGCCTTTGATGCCTGTCGGTAATGGTGATTTTCCCGAAAAATCACAGGGACCTTTATTTTTCTATCAAACACGGCCCTATTACATTTTTCGACCTAACATCTTTGTAGAAGGGCGCGTCACCTCCGGCATGTCACTTGCGGTGCGTCTTACGTTGATTTGGAGTCGTGTGTAAGGTGAATCCCTGTAACGCGCCTTGTTAAATGTGTAAAAAATTTGAGTGCTAGTTTTATAAATATTTTTAATTAATGTCAAATATGTAATTAATTTATATTATAGTGATTTTTGTATAAAAACACTAACTTTATCTATTTATTTATTTTTGATATTATTTTAACAACAGTTAATAATGTTTATTAATTTTTAAAATTAATTATTTAAAAATATTAAAATATTAAAATAAACTTTTAATTACGAGAAAATAACCTCAGTGACAAAAAATGCCTTATAATATACGATTTTAATCAACTTTTTTTAGATTTGCCAAAATGACCAACTAAATCGCAATGCGATCGATAATTCGCAACGCGATCGATAATTCGCAACGCGATCGATAATTCGCAACGCGATCTCCGGTATCGCAAATCAGTTTCCAGATTCGCAACACGAACTTCGACTATCGCATTGCGATTTACATATTCGCATTGCGATAGTCCAAGTTCGCGTTGCGATTTATTCCAAGTTCGTTGCGATAGTCGAAGTTTGCGTTGCGATTTATTCCAAATTCGTTGCGATTTATTCCAAGTTCGCGTTGCGATTTATTCCAAATTCGTTGCGATAGTCGAAGTTCGCGTTGCGATTTATTCCAAGTTCGTTGCGATAGTCCGAAATCGCAACGACGGTATTGCATTTGTTTGTTAAGAATTTTCTCTAAAAAGATAGTATTTGCGCGTACGTGTCGAAGACACGTATTACCACGACAACGACCACGACCCGAGACGAGACGGACGGCGGCGGCTGCGGCGCGCGAGAGTCCCCCTTGTTCTCTATCACTCAACAAGGAAGTGGGAAAGCCAAACCTTAAATACCATTTCCAATAGTGTTTCCAATACTATTTGGGATTGTGCATTACCAACACTTGTTCCCAATACTATGTGGGATTGAGCCTTAAATAGTGATATTATTTTTGAATGTTTTGCTTAAAATTGCAATAATCACGATTGATTGTAGATTGACATTTAATTATGACATATTTAATCGTATAATACTAATGCAATTGGTTGCTGATTCAGTTGTTTTAAGGTGCATGATTGTTAATTATTTCCTGAATAATCACATTGTATTAGAAACAAGTGTTGGTAATGCTCAATCCCACATAGTATTGGAAACACTATTGGGAATGATATTTAAGGCTTGGTTTTCCCACTTCCTTGTTGAGTGATAGAGAACAAGGGGACTCTCACGCGCCACCGCCGCCACTATCCGTCTCGTCTCGGGTCGGGTCGGGTCGTGGTCGTGGTCGTGGTAATACATGTCTTCGACACGTCCGCGCGAATACTATCTTTTTAGAGAAAATTCTTAAGAAACAAATGCAGTACCACCAGTCGTTGCGATTTTGGACTATCGCAATGCGATAGTCGACGATAGTCGAAGTTCGCTTTGCGATAGTCCAAGTTCGCATTGCGATAGTCGACTATCGCATTGCGATTTACATATTCGCATTGCGATAGCCGACTATCGCATTGCGATTTACATATTCGCATTGCGATTTACATATTCGCATTGCGATAGTCCAAGTTCGCATTGCGATAGTCGAAGTTCGCGTTGCGAATCTGGAAACTGATTTACGATACTGGAGATCGCGTTGCGAATTATCGATCGCATTGCGATTTAGTTGGTCATTTTGGCAAATCCAAAAAAAGTTGGTTAAAATCGTATATTATAAGGCATTTTTTGTCAATGAGGTCGTTTTGGCTTTAATTACAATTGAGAGATTAAATTAATTATTATTATTTTTAAAACAATAAATAAATATGCAATAAAAATGAATTAAAAATGAATAAAATTCAATAAAAATATAATGTAAAGCTAAAAATATCACCTCTTTATTTAAAATATTATTTTTAATATTAATTTTTTAAAATATAAAATAAATATTAAATTTTAATTTTATTAAAAATGAATAAACATTATTAATTGTTGTTAAAAAATAATAATTAATGAATAATAATTCATTTGATCCATCAATTGTAATTAAAAGTTTATTTTAATATTTTATATATTTTTAAACAATTAATTTTAAAATACTCTATTTTCAAGACCTAAAGTCAGTTTATGATTGTTAAACAGTCGTAGGTGTGGAAAGCTACAGGAATCGAATGAAAATTCGATCGTACAAAGTCAAAAACTCAAAATTGTCTAACTACTGTCTAAATATCAACTTAATTGTATCATGAATAAACATTCGATCAAATAGTTAATCTTTTCTACTCAATCTTCACAAAAACTGTTTTGTCTCATCATTTTCTCCCGCGTATGAGCTCCTTTCTTTTTATAACATTTATGCAAAAGAATATGCGTATTGTGTAATTTCATGCAAAAATCAAAATTTGTCGAGTTATAAAATAATTTGCAAAAGAATATTTAAAAGTATTTTAAAATATGAATAATTTTATAAAAGTTTTATAACTAGTATTTCTTTTATAAAATGATGATGATGATAATAAATATTTTATAATTTAAAAAATTATAAATTTCATATATTTTTGAAAAATTTATTGACTTTTAAAATTAATTGTTTAAAAATATAAAAAGTATTAAAATAAAATTTTAAATACAATTGACTTTTGCAATAAAGTCACTCTACTTTTGATTTTTCTGTGTGCACGTGGACTACTATATTCAACAGAAAAGAATTGAAAAAACAAAGGAGCTCATGCGCGGGAGAAAATGTTGAGACAAAACAGTTTTTGTGAAGATTGAGCAGAAAAGATCAACTCTTTGATCGGATGTTTATTTGTGGTATAATTGAGTTGATATTTAGACAACAGTTAGACAATTTTGAGTTATTGACTTTGTACGATCGAATTTTCATTCGATTCTTGTAGCTTTCCACACCTACGACTATTTAACAATCATAAACTTGACTAAAATAAACTTTTAATTACAATTGAAGGATCCAATGAATTATTATTCATTAATTATTTTTTTAACAACAGTTAATAATGTTTATTCATTTTTAATAAAATTAAAAATTAAAAATTTATATTTATTTTTTATTTTTTATTTTTTAAAATTAATATTAGAAATAATATTTTAAATAAAGAGGTGATATTTTTAGCTTTACATTATATTTTTATTGAATTTTATTGTATTTTTATTTATTTTTTTTAAAAAGTGAATAATAATTCATTTGATCTATCAATTGTAATTTAAAGTTTATTTTAATATTTTAATATTTTTAAACAATTAATTTTAAAAGTCAATAAACATTATTAATTATGTTAAAAATACTATCACAAAAAATAAATAGATAAAGTTGGCGTTTTTACATAAATATTACCCTAACATAAATTAATTATGTTGAGTTAATCGATCGATGGAAGCGGCCAAGAGGGGGGTGAATTGGCAATTAAAATTTTGGTGGAAGCTTTTGCAGAAAATTGAAAGTAATTGCACAGCGATTTAGAGTGGTTCGACTTTCTCAATCAAAGTCTACGTCCACTACCTTAGCTATCCACACTAAGAATTTTCCAACAAATTCACTAATTTGTTATTTTTTTTAGGCCAAAGAGATAACCTTACAACTCCCTCAATAATATACCCCAATTCTTGAGAACACTCTTTCTCAAAGAGAAGATTACAAATTTGCAAACTTGCAAGGAAATCATCACAAGGAAAGATGTTTGCACAATTCTAGAACAAAGAAAAAAACACTCAAAGATGAATACAATTGAGTACAAATATTGTTCTTGAAATCAAAATGAATATTGAATGAAAAATAGGCTTGAAATGCTCAAACTTTCAAACTTGAGGTTTGATGCTTTCTCTCATGATTCTCTCTTGATTCTAGTTGATTGTTGTTTCTTATTTTTTATCAATGGCTTCTAAGCTTGTTTAAATACACCTTCAAATGATTCTGAACGTTGAGTGGAGTCAATAGAGCCGTTTTAGTGTGAAATCAATTAATAAAACTGTAACACCCCTAACTCATATTCGACCCGAATACAAGTCCAAGATGTCACATTAACTTTTCAAACTTTGATTCTTAAAGAAAAATCCCGGGAATTTAAAACTTTCATTAAAACATAATACTTTAATTTACATAAAAGAGACCACTTAATACAAAATTGATCAGAGCATTCGTAATTAACCACTTATTACATACCAACACTTTATACACAACAAAATACCTACTTTGTCAATTACTTCTGATCTGATTTCTTAGTAATGTTACTGTTTGTGCCACTTCTATTTTGAATCTTCTTATTTCTTGGTACCTACGTGTAAATCACTTACACGCTAAGTCATAGACTTAGTGAGGCAATAAATGAATATGTATTCTTACCATTTCCTTCATGACATTTCAATATGCATGTATCTATTACACAATAACATATATAATCATATCATGCATGTACAAAACTTACCTTCTTGTACCACTTTCACTTTACTTTGTATTTCAATTGCCCATGTATATTATTGAGAATAGAGGTATGTGAGTGCATTGAGGTTGTGCACTAATGCTGTCACCACAGCTCGTATCAATTCCCTCATGGGGCACCGAACCTTAGTTCAGTATTCATCCCGAAGGACTGTCATATATGTCCCGTAGGACCACTACATCCCGAAGGACTACGTCTCAAAGGACTATTATACCCTCGACTCTTGGCATGCCAATTACACCTATAGCTCTCATATCGTATAATATGGGCATTATTCTTATATTTTATATGTTCATGTACTCATGTCATTTCTCTTGTGATCATGTAGCTCATGTCATTTCTCTTGTGATCATGTAGGTCATGTCATGTTCTCATATCACATATCATATAATATATCATATCACATAGGTATTTGAATCTATTCATATATATACATCATTTATCCAATCACATGAACATATATATATGCCTTATGCATGTATTACAATAATTATCATGTATGCATGTTCACAACTATTGTACTATGAAAATCAATATAGGAATTAGACTTATCACAAGTCTTATTCCATTATACTATACATATAGTATGCACTCACCTTAGCTTTGCTTTGATTCGATTCTAATCCTTTGATCGTTTTGGAATAAGCTTACTTTTAGTATCTACATAATCACACATGGATCTATATCAGTATTATAGCTAATATACTCTAATGGTTCACTCTTTAGATTAAGATAAATGCCAATTTCCTCTTTTAATGAAGGTATGCATTGATGCACTACTTGTGCATCGGTGCATAAAATGCATTCGATGTTTTATTATTAATAGGATGCATCGATGCATGCCTTATGCATCGATGCACTAATTGCATTCGATCTTTTTATTTTAAAAGAGTGCATCGATGCACTACCTGTGCATTGATACGCCTTCAAATAATTTATGGGTTTTAACCTTAATGAATCGATGCACTATGTATATGCATCGATGCACTCTGCCCAGAATCCTCTTTTTGAACCCGAAAATTCATTCATTTTGGATTAAATCCTTCATGTTTAATCCCCTTTTTCATTCTTAACTATAGTACACATCCTTAGACCAATTTATACTCATTTATTTCATCTTAAACCTCCAAATTCTATCCTTCATGTGTAATTCAAGAATTATATCAATAATTCAACATGTTTGAATTCCAATTTTAACACTTCGTATATCTTAACTAGATTGATGACAAGTCAATTTTAACTTTCAATTCTAGTTATGAACTCTATTCCAAGATTTCATTTAAGAACTTCAAATCTTAAATATCTTCTAACTCCATCATCCTTTGATGTTAAGATAACTTAAGCTTTCCTTAAGCTTAGTTATCATCTAATAATCAAAACCCAATATTAAATTTAACAAGAAACTCAATAATCAGAAATCTTACCTTTGCTTTGGTTCACACGCACAAGGAAGAAAGAAGAAGAAGAGAACTCTGGAAGTCTTGGGTGTTTTCTCCCCTTCCACCCACGTGTATCCTTATATATACATAATTATCCTTTCTTTAATTATTTTTCCTTGCAATTACTCTATTGTCCTTCCATTCCTTCTTCCTTTCAATTCCATCATACACAATAATTTACATGTAAATCTTTATACTATTCATTCATTTTATTCTAACCACCAAATTCTGAGACTTTACAATTTAGTCACTAACCCAGTATTGAGGATGTTACAACTCTCCCCCTTAAGAAAATTCGTCCTCGAATTTTCATTATGCAAAGAGGTAGGGGTACTTAATCCTCATGTCCTCTTCACGTTCCCATGTTGCTTCCTCTATTTTGTGATTCCTCTACAAGACTTTAACCAATGGAATAAGCTTGTTCCTTAGTTGCTTGACTTCGTGAGCTAATATTTGAACAGGTTCTTCCTCATAAGTTAAATCTGGTCGAACTTCAATTTCTTCAGGAGTCACAATGTGGGATGGATCAGATCGATATTTCCTAAGCATTGAGACATGAAAGACATTGTGTATCTTTTCCATTTCAGGTGGCAAAATTAGTTGATATGCTACTGGTCATACTCTCTTAGTGATCTCGTAAGGTCCAATAAATCGAGGACTCAACTTTCCTATCCTTCCAAACCTCAATACTTTCTTCCACGGAGACACTTTCAAGAACACTTTATCTCCGACTTGAAATTCAATCTCTTTCCTTTTTAAATAAGCATACGATTTATGTCTATCAGCTGCGACTTTCAGATTATTCTGAATTATTTGAACTTTTTCTTCCGTATTCTGAATCAACTCAGGACCAATAACTTATTGATCCTTAAGTTCATACCAGTTCAAGGGCGTACGATATCTTCTTCCATATAGAGCTTCATAGGGAACCATTTTGATGCTTGACTGATAACTATTGTTGTACGCAAATTCAGCAATTGGTAAATACCTTTCCCACGATCCTTTGAATTCAATGACACAAGCTCTTAGCATATCCTCCAGAATTTGAATAGTTCGCTCGGATTGACCATCGGTTTGAGGATGAAACGTTATACTGAAGTTCAACCGAGTTCCCAGCGCTCCATGTAATGACTTCCAAAACCGTGATGTGAATCTAGGATCTCGATCAGAAACTATGGAAATAAGTATACCATGCAAATGTATAATCTCTCTAATATACAGTTCCTCATACTTATCCATGGAGATATCAGTTCGTACCGGAATAAAATGGGTTGACTTAGTCAATCTATCTACGATCACCCAGATTGAATCTTTTTTGTTCGGAGTTAAAGACAACCCCGTCACAAAATCCATTGTTATGTTTTCCCATTTCTATTGAGGAATTGAAATTGATTGTAACTATCCTGTCGGAACCTGATGCTCAGCTTTGACTTGTTGACAAGTCAAACACTTTGATACAAATTTCGTAATGTCTTTCTTCATTCCCGGCCACCAATATCGACTCTTGAGATCCATATACATTTTGTTCCCTCCCGGATGCATTGTCAATGGACTACAATGAGCTTCTGTTAACAAATCATTCTTTAATTCATCATCATCCGAAATTACCAATCTTTCTCGATAATATAAATTCTCATCAGACTTAATCTCATAATCCGTACCCTCTCCATTACTTATCGGTTGTATCTTCTTTAAACACTTTCCATCTTTAGCTTGCAATTCTTTAATTCGATCTAGCCATGCTGGCTTGACAGTCAGTTCTGCACAGATCGCACCATCTTCTCTTAACGATAATCTAGCATCAAGAGTTCGCAAAGCTGCAAACGTCTTTCTACTCAAGGCATCAGCTACCACATTTGCCTTTCCGGGATGGAAATCAATCACAACATCATAATCCTTGAGAAATTCCACCCATCTTCTTTGTCTTAAATTTAACTCTTTCTGAGTCATCAAGTATTTTAAGCTCTTGTGATTCGTATACAAGTAGCACTTTTCACCATACAAGTAGTGATGCCAGATCTTTAAAGCAAACACTACTGCCGCCATCTCTAGGTCGTGTGTTGGATAATTCTTCTCGTGCGGTTTTAGTTGTCTCGAAGCATAGGCCACCACCTTGCCTTCTTGCATTAATACGCATCCCAAACCACTATGAGACGCATCACTAGACACTATAAAGTTCTTGCCAGACTCAGGTTGAACTAACACTGGAGCTTCTGTAAGAATCTTCTTTAACTTTTCAAAACTCTCTTGACATTCTTGAGTCCAAACAAATTTTACTTCCTTTTTCAACAGTTTAGTTAGGGGTAATGCTATGATCGAAAAGTTTTTAATGAACCTTCGATAATAACCAGCTAACCCCAGAAAACTTCTAACTTCTAATACATTCTTTGGAACTTCCTACTCCAGAATAACTTTAATCTTTTGGGGATCCACTCGAACTCCTTCTGCAGAAATTACATGTCCAAGGAATGTCACTTCATTCAACCAAAATTCACATTTAGAAAATTTAGCAAAAAGATTCTTGTCTCGTAAAATCTGTAAAACAATCTGTAAGTGTGAACTACGCTCTTCTTCTAACTTTGAATATATTAAAATATCATCAATAAACACCACAGCAAACTGATCCAAACAAGGTTGGAATATCCTATTCATTAGATCCATAAAAGTAGCTGGTGCATTCATAACTCCAAACGGCATCACGATAAACTCATAATGACCATATCTTGTTCTAAACGTTGTTTTTAAAATGTATTTCTCTTGAATCTTTAATTGATGATAACCCGAACGTAGAGCAACTTTTGAGAACACTGAAGCTTTTTTTAATTGATCAAATAAATCGTCAATTCGGGGAAGTGGATACTTGTTCTTGATGGTCACTTTATTGAGATGCATGTAATAGATACAAAGACACATTGATCCATCTTTCTTTTTAACAAATAGAACTGGAGCTCACCAAGGTGATACACTTGGTCTTATAAACCCTTTGTCTAGTAACTCATGTAATTGAATCTTTAATTCTTGCAACTCTTTTGGAGCCATCATGTATGGTGCCATTGCAATGGGCGTTGTTCCCGGTATTATCTCAATCTGGAATTCTACCTCTCTGTCTGGAGGTAAACCTGGAAACTCTGCAGGAAATACATCGGGAAATTCTCTGACTATAGGAATTCCTTCAATCCCTTTCTCCTTGGTTCTAACATCCAGCACATTAGCAATGAACCCTTGACATCCTTGTAGCAATAACTTTTTCGCCGACATTACTGAAATTACATTTGCCAATGGATTCCATCCTTCACTAAATACCACCACATCTACCCCTTCTGGACTTCTCAGTGTTACTCTTTTCAATTTACAATCGACATTAGCGTAATAACGATATAACCAATCTATTCCCAGTATCACTTTAAATTCGTCGAAAGGTAATTTCATCAGATTAGCAGGGAATTCAATTCCCTGAATTTGTATGGGACATCCTCGACTCACCATATTTACCCGAGCAATGTGTCCTAACGTATTCATCATTATCACCTCATTGCTAGTAGTTTCCAACGGAATGTTCAATTCTCCCACTAACTTACTTGTAATGTATGAATATGTAGACCCTGTATCAATCAATACAAGAACACATTTGTCAAACAATAGAAAGGTACATGTTATAATATCTGGGTCATCACAATCCTCATTGGTCTTGAGGTTGTACAAGCAGTGGAGTGTATCTCCTGTTGAGCAGAGGATTTCGATTGGCTTCTTCCTCTGCCTCTACCTCTTCCTCTCTGGCCTGCAAAAATAGATCTCTCTGGCTGTGTAGATTCACTGGTTAACATTGGACAATCCCGAACAAAATGCCCAACATCCCCACATCTAAAGCAGACTCCAGAAATCATCAGGCATATACCTGAATGATTCTTTCCACAATGTGGGCATTGTCTGGCTTGACTCTGATTAGATCTCCCAGCTCCAGATCCCACTGACTGAGTTTGTCTACCTCTCATCTGATTTGATCCTCTTGCGGAGGATGCCACTGACTCTGATCTAACTTGGGGTCGAAAACTAGTATCTCTGCCCCTTTTTGATGGTGCGAAACTCGAAGAAGCACCCGTTTTTTTGACTGTCTGAGCTCTCGAATTTTCAAACCTCTCGTTCTGAGCTCTTTCCAGAGCCTTGGCACGGTTGACTACCTCTTGAAATGAGGATAAATTCAAGACAATTAACATTTCCTTCAACCGAGGACGTAACTCCTCTACAAACCACTCACAAGTATCCTTCTCTGTAGGAACTAGCTCGGCAGCAAAGCGGCTCAACTTATTGAATTCACACTCGTACTAATATACAGTGTGATTCCATTGCTTCAAATTCATGAACTCTTGCTTCATTTGACGAATAAATTGATCTCCGATGTACTTATGTTTGAATTCTTCTAAAAACAATGACCAAGTTACTTGGGCGTTAGACATCCTCAATGTAACATTGGTTCACCAGATCCTTGATTGTCCTCTCAACAAGGAAATTACTCCATCCAGCTTCTCAGCATCGGAACAATGAAGTCCCGTAAGCATGACCTTCACGTCATTAAGCCAAATGTCCACAGTAACAGGACCGTCATCGGCTTCCCCTTTAAACTCTGGAGCTCCTAATCCCTTCAACTCTTTCGCAACATTCATTTTTGGAGTTGAAGTAACAGGAGGTTGAAAACGTGTCAATACCGTGTCTAACGTTCTAAAGAATATATCTTGATCATTTACAGGCATTCCAGAGGATGTCTGTTCTTCACTCTGCCTGGCCAGGGCAGGTGAATTACTGCTTTCAGCGGGTCTATTATCTCTCACTTCATTCCTAGAACTCCTTTGTCCGGACATCTATAAAAATACAACCATATAGTTCTATTAGCAAAACAGCATACTTACTATTCCATCAGATCAGAAGTTTCTACTATTTTGTTGGTATGTATACATTATCAAACACTCTAGACTCCGGTTTATGTCGAGAATTGACTAAACCGTAGCTCTGATACCATTAAATGTAACACCCTTAACTCATATTCGACCCGAATACAAGTCCAAGTGTCACATTGACTTTTCAAACTTTGATTCTTAAAGAAAAATCTCAGGAATTTAAAACTTTCATTAAAACAAAATACTTTAATTTACATAAAAGAGACCACTTAATACAAAATCGATCAGAGCATTCGTAATTAACCACTTATTACATACCAACACTTTATACACAACAAAATACCTACTTTGTCAATTACTTATGATCTGATTTCTTAGTAATGTTGTTGTCCGTGCCACTTCTATTCTGAATCTTCTTATTTCTTGGTACCTACGTGTAAATCACTTATACGTTAAGTCATAGACTTAGTGAGGCAATAAATTAATATGCATTCTTACCATTTCCTTCATGACATTTCAATATGCATGTATCTATTACACAATAACATATATAATCATATCATGCATGTACAAAACTTACATTCTTGTACCACTTTCACTTTACTTTGCATTTCAATTGCCTATGTATATTATTGAGAATAGAGGTATGTGAGTGCATTGAGGTTGTGCACTAATGATGTCACCACAGCTCGTATCAATTCCCTCATGGGGCACCGAATCTTAGTTCAGTATTCATCCCGAATGACTGTCATATATGTCCCGTAGGACCACTACATCCCGAAAGACTATTATACCCTCGACTCTTGGCATGCCAATTACACTTATAGCTCTCATATCGTATACTATGGGCATTATTCTTATATTTTATATGTTCATGTACTCATGTCATTTCTCTTGTGATCATGTAGCTCATGTCATTTCTCTTGTGATCATGTAGCTCATGTCATGTTCTCATATCACATATCATATCACATATCATATCACACAGGTATTTGAATCTATTCATATATATACATCATTTATCCAATCACATGAACATATATATATGCCTTATGTATGTATTACAATAATTATCATGTATGCATGTTCACAACTATTGTACTATGAAAATCAATATATGAATTATACTTATCACAAGTCTTATTCCATTATACTATACATATAGTATGCACCCACCTTAGCTTTGCTTTGATTCGATTCTAATCCTTTGATCGTTCTGGAATAAGCTTACTTTTAGTATCTACATAATCACACATGGATCTATATCAGTATTATAGCTAATATACTCTAATGGTTCACTCTTTAGATTAAGATAAATGCCAATTTCCTCTTTTAATGAAGGTATGCATCGATGCACTACTTGTGCATCGGTGCATAAAATGCATTCGATGTTTTATTATTAATGGGATGCATCGATGCATGCCTTACGCATCGATGCACTAATTGCATTCGATCTTTTTATTTTAAAAGAGTGCATCGATGCACTACCTGTGCATCGATACGCCTTCAAATAATTTATGGGTTTTAACCTTAATGAATCGATGCACTATGTATATGCATCGATGCACTCTGCCCAGAATCCTCTTTTTGAACCCAAAAATTCATTCATTTTGGATTAAATCCTTCATGTTTAATCCTCTTTTTTATTCTTAACTATAGTACACATCCTTAGACCATTTTATACTCATTTATTTCATCTTAAACCTCTAAATTCTATCCTTCATATGTAATTCAAGAATTACATCAATAATTCAACATGTTTGAATTCCGCTTTTAACACTTTGTATATCTTAACTAGATTGATGACAAGTCAAATTTAACTTTCAATTCTAGTTATGAACTCTATTCCAAGATTTCATTTAAGAACTTCAAATCTTAAATCTCTCATAACTCCATCATCCTTTGATGTTAAGATAACTTAAGCTTTCCTTAAGCTTAGTTATCATCTAATAATCAAAACTCAGTATTAAATTTAACAAGAAACTCAATAATCAGAAATCTTACCTTTGCTTTGGTTCACACGCACAAGGAAGAAAGAAGAAGAAGAGAACTCTGGAAGTCTTGGGTGTTTTCTCCCCTTCCACCCACGTGTATCCTTATATATACATAATTATCCTTTCTTTAATTATTTTTCCTTGCAATTACTCTATTGTCCTTCTATTCCTTCTTCCTTTCAATTCCATCCTACACAATAATTTACATGTAAATCTTTATACTATTCATTCATTTTATTCTAACCACCAAATTTGAGACTTTACAATTTAGTCACTAACCCGGTATTGAGGATATTACAAAAACAGCTTGGAGTGTGGGGGGAATCGGTACCCCCTCATGGGGAATCGGTTCCCTAAGTGTAAAATTCAAATATTTCGACCGTTAAACAGAGGGGAATCGGTACCCCCTTGGGGAGGAATCGGTTCCCTCCGAGCATTCTATTTTTCTCGGAGCCAAACCATTCAGTGGGGGAATCGGTACCCCCTTGGGGGAGAATCGGTTCCCTCTGGACATTCTGGAATTTTTGGCTTTGAAATGGTTCGAAATGTTTTGCAAAATTTTTTTGAAATTATTTTAAGTTTAAAACTTAATTTTACACTTGAGTAAGGATTAAAAATGACATTTGAATGATTTGGAGTAATATTTTGATATTCGAATAATTATATCGAATATTCTTAGAAAATCTTTTTGGAAAATCTTAAAATTCATTTATCTTAATTTGTTATATCGAAATATCAAAAAGTTTTCAACAATCTCCCCTTTTTTGATATAACAAAACATTTTAGTAATTTTAAGATTTTGAAATCAAGTTTTGAAATTACTCCCCCTTACTCTAACACTTCTCCCCTTTAAAATGCTTTACCTTTTCTCCCCTTTTTGTTAAATCAAAAAGACTTTTAAAGGATTTTAAACAAGGTTTTGAAATCATTTAGCCAATTGATGATAAATATATATAGCTTAAGCTGCTAATATCACAATCAAGAGAAACGTTAGCCATTAGTTTCATAATCAATATTCATAAACAATGTGACATGGCAAAACTGGTCATAAATCTAACATGATGTAAATGATGCAATAATGAATAAATTTAACCACACCAAACATATAGAAATATAAGTTCATACCATCCATAAATCCAAACAAATTCAAAGTCAAATAATCCACAAATTCAAACATTCCAAAATATCCAAAATGTTAAAACAATAAGTTTGAAGTTTTGATCCAATAAAACTAAGCAAGAATAGGGCCTAATCGTTCATCGGTGCATCAGGAGGAGATAAATGTGACCAAATATAGGTCACATCACGTGAAAGTGCATCGACCTTTTCGTCCAATGAATCAAAATGACGATTTATCGTTTCAGTGGTAGCGATCAAATTTGAATCGATAGATGCAGGCCTCAAATCAATGTTCTCCATAAAAGATCGGAAGTATGGAGACATTTGATACTCTGGACGAGGTTGTTCCTCTGGAGGTGCTTGTTCCTCGTGCTGATCCGGCTCATTGTCGGAGTCGTCTTCTTCCGAAGGTTGCTCACCGGTACGAACCCAAAGACCTGTTTCTTCATTGATCTTCCATACCGATTTAGTTAAAGAAAATAGATTGATTTGGTTTTTGAGGGGAAATGAAACATCAATACCAACTCTAAACCCAGCCTTCTTAAACAGATTACTAAGAATACAACCATAAACTAAAGAAGAACATAATTTCTTATTGGGAACAAGATTTACGGTTTCGACAAGTTCAACAAAAATAATCTGTGAAAGGTTAATTTTGAGATTATTTTGAACACAATGAAGCCAAAATAGATCTAAGGCTCAAAGAGTAGAGTAACGGTCTCTGGATGGTCGAAACCACCAAGAAATCATTAGGTGAAGAAAACGGTCATAAAGGTCTAGAACACTTGCACTATCCCTTCGCTTATACTGAGATCCTATCGTAAGCTTTTCATTGTCTAACCCTTCATTATCTAATTCTAATGCTTTGGCAATGGATTCCGAGTCAAGATGAAAGAAACGTCCTAGAAGATAGGATCAGATCCTTATAGTTAAGGTTTTCTCTCTGTTTTTAATGCAAACGGAATTAGAGTAAAAGATCCGAACAAGTTGATGGTAGACAATTTGTTCAAGCTCGAAGAGTTTGTCAAATTTCCACTCATGAAGAGTAGGAAGATGACGAAAATTGATGTCTAACATGGCTTGAAGAGATGGGATTCGTTCTTCCCGGATTCTATAGGATTCAAAGTATTGACAAAACCTAAAGTAGAGATTTTGTTTACGACCGGGTTCATTGAAACAAGAATTGCGAATGGTCATGTTTGGATCATCGAGATTAGAAATAGGAATTTGTGGGATAGGTGGAGGATTTGGAGGTGAGTTTAGAGGTTGGCTAGAACGACTAGAGGAAGCCCTAGAACGTTTATAAGACATGATTTAAGATAATCGAAATGTAAAGATAACCTGCAATTTTAAAAACATATGTACGCAAAATAATCAATCCCAAAATTCAATTGAGTCCTCAATATTTCAAGGTTCTTTATACCAATCCTAATGGGCAAAGTTTTTGAAAACTATTGAAAAATAAGGTTTTAAGAATCAATATACATATAGTTTTCATAATAACATAATTATATCAAAAACACAACAATTTGAAAATATAATTTTTTTAAATTTCGAAAATTTTCAAAATCTTTGAAAATTCTTTTGTTTTTGATGAAATTAGTTATAGAATCGAGTTTCTAATCACTAGACAATCAATGCCCGATCTAAAGTTCAACCTAGAACTAATTAAAACTAGTTCTAAAATAAAAAATTGATGAAATAGAAGTTTTAGAAAAATACCTTGAAGATTTTCGGATTTGAGTGAGAATAGATGAAGTTTGCACGTTTTTTTATGATTCCAACAGGTTTAGGAGATGATATTTGAAGAGAATTACGATTAAAAACGTTGTTTTGATGAAATATGGAGATAGTGAGAGAGTAGAGAGGAAAAACGGCGTGAAGAGAAGAAGAGAGGGTTTGAGTTTTAGGGTGTTCTGTCCGTGTTAAAAACCAGAACCCCAGGGGGTATCGATTCCCTCTGCACTAAAGTGCTAAAATATGATTTTTAAATACTCAAAATGCTAAATTAATTTTCTCTAATGGTATTGGCAACTCATATATTGAAAATTAATCATGTTCAATCAATCAAATTTACCATTAAAAATTATTTGAACATAAAGTTAATTTTCACCAAAAATCATAAACTCCCCCTAACTAAAAGCAATGAATGCAATCAAAAAATTACTATTATATGCATTTTTCATTTATTCTTAAAAGTGCTAAAATTATTTTAAGCACTAAGTGAAGATAGGTTAGTTAATCCTAATTCTCTCCTAAGTTTCCAAAAACGTTCCTTATCTAAAGGCTTTGTAAAGATATCCGCTAATTGATGCAAAGTATCAACAAATTCTAGAACTACATCTTCCTTAGTGACATGGTCTCTAATGAAGTAATGTCTTATTTCAATGTGCTTAGTTCTAGAGTGTTGGATGGGATTTTTAGTGAGACAAATAGCACTAGTATTGTCACACTTGATAGGAATGGTACCTACTTCAATTCCATAATCAAAAAGTTGTTGTTTCATCCATAAAACTTGTGCACAACAACTACCGGTTGAAATATATTTGCTTCAGTGGTAGATAATGCAACATAATTTTTTCTTTGAAAACCAAGAATCAACATATTTCCAAGGAATTGGTAAGTACCAGAGGTGCTTTTCCTATCTAATTTGCATCCTCTATAATCCGCATCAGAAAAGGCATGCAAGCTAAAGCTAGAGTCTCTAGGATACCAAAGTCCTAAACTAGCAGTGTCCTTAAGGTATCTAAAGATTCTCTTAACAACTAGTAAATGTGATTCCTTAGGGCATGATTGAAATATAGCACATAAGCAAACACTAAACATAATGTCCAGTCTACTTGCAGTTAGATAGAGCAAAGAACCAATCATTGACCTATATAATTTAACATCCACACATTTACCTCATTCATCCAAGTCAAGCTTTGTAGAAGAGCTCTTTGGAGTGTCATGAGGTTTCCCATTTTCCAGTCCAAACTTTTTGAGCATATCTTTGATTTATTTAGCTTGATTGATGAAGATGACATCTTTTCTTTGCTTGATTTGGAGTCCCAAGAAAAATGAGAGCTCCCCCATCATGCTCATCTCGAATTCGCTTTGCATTAGCTTAGAAAATTCTTGGCAAAGAACATCATTAGTAGAACCAAATATTATATCATCAACATAAATTTGAACTACTAATAAATCTTTACCTTTTTGCTTTAAAAACAATGTAGTGTCAACCTTCCCTTTTGAAAAACCTTTTCAATTAAAAAGTTTGACAATCTTTCATACCAAGCTCTAGGAGCTTGTTTTAAACCATAAAGTGCTTTTGTCAATTTAAAAACATGATCCGGAAATTTTGAATCTTCAAAACCTGTAGGTTGTTCCACATACACTTCTTCTTTAATAAAACCATTTAAAAATGCACTTTTAACATCCATTTGATATAATTTAAATTCATGAAAACATGCAAATGCTAATAACATTCTAATTGCTTCCATCCTAGCTATGGGAGCGTATGTTTCATCATAGTCTATGCCCTCTTCTTGAGTATACCCTTGAGCAACAAGTCTAGCCTTGTTTCTCACTATATTACCACTTTCATCAAGCTTATTCCTAAATACCCATCTAGTACCTACAGTAGATTTATTACTAGGCCTTTCAACTAGTGTCCAAACTTTACTACTCTCAAATTGATTTAACTCTTATTGCATAGCCATAATCCAATGTTCATCATTTAATGCTTATTTAATATTTTAGGCTCTATGCATGAGATAAATGCAACATAATATAAATATTTCTAAGAGAAGATCGAGTTGTTACCCCTTTGGATGGATCACCTATGATTTCACCATCCTTGACATAGTTGTACACTCTTGGGTAAGATACTTCCCTTTCTTCAATGGTTGGATTTTCGAGAGGATCATGAGTTTCCTCATCTTTCATTTCTTCCTTTGATGATGATTCTCCAACGTCATGTCTAACGTCATTTGTATTTATAATACCTACATCATCATTCAAGCAAGAATCCTTCCTCGGAAGGAGATTATCATCGAAAACAACATGTATATACTCTTCTACAACTAAAGTTCTTTTATTAAATACTCGATAAGCTTTAGAACTTAAGGAATAACCCAGAAAAATTCCTTCATCACTTTTAGCATCAAATTTGCCAAGATTGTCTTTACCGTTGTTTAAAACAAAACATTTACATCCAAAAGGATGAAAATAGATAATGTTAGGCTTTTTATTTTTAAAAAGTTCATATGAAGTTTTCTTCAAAATAGGCCTAATCATTACTCGATTAATAACATAACAAGCAGTATTTGTGGCTTCCGCCCAAAAATATTTTGGCAAATTGTTTTCACAAAGCATGGTTCTAGCCATTTCTTCTAAAGTTCGATTTTTCCTTTCAACAACTCCATTTTGTTGAGGGTTCTTTGTGCTGAAAAATTATGACTAATATCATTAGAATTACAAAATTCAGTAAATCCAAGATTTTCAAATTCAGTTCCATGATCACTCCTGACACTAGTTATAGAGTAACCTTTTTCGTTTTGGATTACTTTTGAAAACGTGATGAATTTTATAATGCTTCATCTTTAGTACTTAAGAATAGAACCCAAGTATATCTAGAATAGTCATCTACCAAGACAAATGCATATTGTTTTTCACCCAAGCTAGTAGTTCTAGATGGCCCAAAAAGATTTAAATAGATCAATTACAATACTCTACTAGTTGATACATCATTAATGGATTTAAAAGAAACTCGCTTTTGCTTTCCTTTAGCACAAGCATCACAGATTTTATCATTATCAAATTTCAGTTTAGGCATCCCTCTTACTAAGTCTCCTTGAATTAACCGTTGCAAAACACTCATACTAGCATGTCCTAGTCTCATATGCCATAACCAACTATCATGCTCATCTTTAGCAACTAGGTATAAATTAGTCATATCAATAGAGTCTAAATGCACCATATATATGTTTCCTATTCTATGACCAACAAACATAATTCGATTAGATGCAATGTCAATAACTTTACAACCATTGGTTTCAAACATGACATTGAATCCTTTATCACATAATTGACTAATACTCAAAATATTATGCTTTAATCCATTCACATATAAAACATTCTTAATTTGTATGGAAGAGGTATTACCTATAGTTCATATACCTTTAATGTGACCTTTTGAGTTATCACCAGAAGTCACTTCTCCTCCATTTTTGGCATTAAGCTCAATAAACCGGCTTTGTCCCCGGTCATGTGTATCGAGTATCCACTATCAAGGTACCATGAATTTGAATTTGTTTCACGTGCCTTGTAGCAATGCTCATTTTCCTACAAACATAAATTAATTTCTAATTTTTGGTACCCAAATTCTTTTGGGTCCATATTCATTAGTTTCCAAAATCCTAGTCCCCTTAGGTATCCATTTATGTAGGATATCTTTATTTTTAGTAGTAATGAGTCCTTTAGGAACCTATACTTCTAACAATTTTTCCATTAGAGGTTCTTCGGGGACCTCTATGATTGTAGTTTTTAAAACTTTTTCTAACAAAGTTGGATTTGAATTTTCTTCTTTTTCAAAACGTTTTGTTCCAACTTTATCAAAAGAAGCTTTAAGATCATCAATTTTCTTTTGATGATCATCATTGACCTTTGAAAGTAAATTTTGCAAATCCGAATTTTTTTTTTCAAACTCTTCTAGTTTGATTTGCAAATATTGATTTTACTTTCGAGATCGTTGTTGGTTTTGGATATGAGTTTATTTTCATTTTTCAATTTTGAAACATCATTTTTGTATTTTAAAAATAATTTCTCATAATCCGAAGCCAACCCATTATATTCCTCTAATAGCTCATCATAAGATAAATCATCAAATTTAGATGAGTTAAAGGTTACCTTAGAATCTTCCCCGAATGTCATCAAGCACAAGTTTGCTACTTCTTGTTCCTCTTCATCGGAACCTTCTTCATCGCTCCATGTAGCCACATAAGCCTTGTGCTTATTCTTTGATTGACCCTTTCTTTTCAATTGTGGGCAATCATATTTGACATGCCCCGGCTTTTGCATTCATAGCAAATGATCGGGTCCTTCTCTTTTGGTTCATTTTTTAGGCTTTCATTTCGTTTGAATTTTCTTCCTCGGTAAGGTCTCATCATTTTCTGAACCGTTTGGCAACAATGCAATTTCCTCGTCATCTTCATCAGAATCACTCTCTTCTTTTGTGGATTTGAGAGAAACTCCAATGTTTTTCTTCTTCTCCTTTGGTGTCTCTTCAATCTTATCGAGGTCACTGCATCTTCAAGCATCATTTCATGAGTGAAGAGGGAACCGATTAGCTCTTCAAGAGTTAAGGACTTTAGGTTCTTAGCCTCGATGATTGCAGTCTTCTGGATTGCCATGATTTTGGAAGTGAGTAAACTAACTTTCTCACAAGCTTTTCGTTTGAAATGATCTCTCTATATGATTTGAGACCATTGACAATCGTTGAGAATATATCCGTCATAGCTTTGATATCTTCATTTGGTTTCATCCTGAAATTTTCATAGATATGTGTTAGAAGACTAATTTTAGATTTTTTTACCTCGTCGGTGCCTTCATAAGTGACTTGTAGTTTATCCCATATTTCTTTGGCGGTTGTACAAGATGAAACTCTTCCATATTCATCTGGTCCAAGAGCACAAAATATGATATGGATGGCTTTGGAGTTGAGCTGGAACATTATTGTCTCTCCTTCACTCCAGAATCTTGGATGAGTGAGAGGCTTGATATATCCGTCTTCTACAACATTCCATGCTCCCATGTCACTGGCTTGAATGAAATACATCATCCTATTCTTCCAATAGGCATAGTTAACTCCATTGAAGAAATGAGGCTTGTTGACGGGCATCGAATTGAGACCGGAGTCGACGTTTGAAGTGGAGGCCATTGATGACTTTGATTATCAATGTAACTCTTCCCGAATCGAATCAAGAGGTGATTAAACCTTCAAATGAGTTAGGCTCTGATGCCAATTGTTGAGTTAATCGATCGATAGAAGGGGCCAAGAGGGGGTGAATTGGCAATTAAAATTTTGGTGGAAGCTTTTGTTAAAAATTGAAAGTAATGCACAGCGATTTAGAGTGGTTCGACTTTCTCAATCAAGTCTACGTCCAATACCTTAGCTATCCACACTAAGGATTTTCCAACAAATTCACTAATTTGTTCTTTCTTTTGAGGCCAAAGAGATAACCTTACAACTCCCTCAAGAATATACCCCAATTCTTGAGAACACTCTTTCTCAAAGAGAAGATTACAAATTTGCAAACTTACAAGGAAATCCTCACAAGGAAAGATGTCTGCACAATTCTAGAACAAAGAAAAGAACACTCAAAGATGAATACAATTGAGTACAAATAGTGTTCTTGAAAGCAAAATGAATATTAAATGAAAAATAGGCTTGAAATGCTCAAACTTGAGGTTTGATGCTTTCTCTTTGATTCTATCTTGATTCTAGTTGATTGTTGTTTCTTATTTTTGATCAATGGCTTCTAAGCTTGTTTAAATACACCTTCAAATAATTCTGAACGTTGGGGATGATTAGTGGAGTCAATAGAGCCGTTTTAGTGTGAAATCAATTGGAGCGTGGGGGGAATCGGTACCCCCTCATGGGGAATCGATTCCCTAAGTGTAAAATTTAAATATTTCGACCATTAAACAGGAGGAAATCGGTACCCCTTGGGGGGGAATCGGTTCCCTCCGAGCATTCTGTTTTTCTCGGAGCCAAACCATTCAGGGGGGAATCGATTCACCCTTAGGGGGAATCGGTTCCCTCTAGACATTCTAGAATTTTTGGCTTTGAAATGGTTCGAAATGTTTTGTAAAATTGTTTTGAAATTATTTTAAGTTTAAAACTTAATTTTACACTTGAGTAAGGATTAAAATGACATTTGAAAGATTTGGAGTAATATTTTGATATTCGAATAATTATATCGAATATACTAAGAAAATCTTTTTGGAAAATCTTAAAATTCATTTATCTTAATTTGTTATATCGAAATAACAAAATGTTTTCAACAAATTACATATTTGACACCAGTTTAAAAATATTTATAAAACTAACACCTTAATTTTTACACGTTTAATAAGGCGCGTTACAGGGGGCGCCTTACCCCACGTGGCGTAAAGCGTGGTGTAGAGGGCGCGCTTCCTACAAAAATGTTAGATCAAAAAATATAGTTTGGACGGTGCTGACAGGGAAATAAAGGTCCTAGAGTGATTTTTCGAAAAAATCGTTGGTAATACATGATCTGCGTTGCGTTTGTGAGTGGTAATTGGCTTTTTACGACTTGGACCGACCTTTTGACCCAAAAGGAGGCAACCCCAAATCGCCTTCTCCACTGACCTTTCTGTTGAAACACTGTCTCAACTTCCTCTTTTGTGTTGGCCATGGATTGTGAAGATTATTATGTTGAGGGAAATTAGCTCACACAGTTCCAGCAACTAAACTAGCCGCATCTGAGTTCAGCCGTGTGAAAAAACATACTTGAATGCAAAAAAATAAAAAAAATGAAGGAAACATGCTTCTGATACTGTTTGATTGTAAAATATGGGTTATAATAACTGTGGACGGTTTTTTTTTTTATTTAGATGGAGTTATAACTGATGAATTCTAGAGAGTGACGAGCAAAAGACATGTATAGTTTGAGAGTCGAGAAATATTTCTTTTCTAGTTATACATTATGATTTATAAAATGATCTCAGATTTAGAATAATAATAATTAGTTAACTACTTGTAGATTGATAGGACAAATAAATGTGAAAACTTAATAGTAGACTTGACTATTACATTACGTAAACAGATTAGAGATTATCAACAAATTATAGTTAATCAGGAGATATGAATCTTTAAAGACTTTAATCAACGAAAGAGTTCATTTAAAGGTTTTGAAAGACAGAAAATTGATAACGGAAACGCAACTTCGGAAGATATGGGATACAAATGTTAGTTTAGTACAAATCAAATATGTAATAATGATTACAATCTACGGCCACTTTTTAAGTGAAGGATCTAACTGCAGAAGACGTGGTGACCAAATAGGAGAGGAGGCCAACAATGAGTGCAGTGTTATACGTGGTTGGCTCAGCTTGCATCGAGTTGTTCCGGGAATCTATGAATGTTACTTAAGGAAAGGCCCCACAAGAGCTCCCACAGCTACATTAGGATTGGGTTTCGGTGAAGTTAGCCACGGAAACCATCACTGCATCGACCGGAATCAAAGCTCCTCCCTCTATGATGCACATATTGCGGGTATTCATCGCCGTACCCCCACAAGAAAGCTCATCTTCATGGGGTTACTGCCCAAGACATAATAATCAGCCTGGAAGCAAAGATTGTTATTATTATAGTACTACCATTACACAGGAACAACACGTTACTATTTCTAATCTTTGGTTGTGTATCACCAACCGGCCTTAGTTTCGGAAGTAAAAAAATGTAGAATGTAAGAAATAATTCAGAGGCTTTTGGTCACAGCATTGTTCAATCAGATTCCTTATCAAGTATGGAACCAAACTTCATCAGTTGCAAATTGCTAATAAAACCATGGATAAACTACTTGTTCCAAGTACTAAACATCAAATCTGACTCCATAAGTTAAAGAGCAACCCAAAAAGGAGGCAAATTTCAATAAAAAAAAAGTAAACAAGCTTATATATAAACAATATATATGTACACACACACACACACACACACACATACATGCATACATGCATACATTGCATACAGCATAATGCAACATGCATACATGCATACATCATACATACATACATACATACATGTGTAAGAGGTAATGCCAATGAACTTGCTTTAACTAGAATAAAAATGAAAATTATTCAAATTAAAAATAATTGTTTTAACTAGAATAGTTAACAATATTAATAGTTCCGAGTAATTGATAGAAATGAAAAAGTAGATGATTAAATTTCACTAGAATAACAAGAAAAGGACCAAATTAAGTTAAACTAAAGTATAGTGACTAAATCTTAAGATTTTAAAATAACAAAAGGACGACAGTTCTGAATATGACCTGAAATTAAATGTCAAGCTTTTCTGTTAAGGTGTTATATTCTCGATGTTTCATTGACGGATATGCCCCGTGATTTTGGTCGGGCGAGCTGAAAGGAACTAAAAGCTCATTTTCTGCGTCCAAAGTTGAATTAAGACTCGAGACTTGGAGGATTAATTTTAAGCCGTTGATTTCTTGAGCACCAATGTGAGATGATAAAAACGTGCATAAGTAAAGCAACAATTCAACCACTGAAATCGTAACTAGAACACAAGAAATTTACATCAATGTTAATACCAATTATTCAATAGCATTCTATGCCTACTGATTTAAATACTAATTCAGTAACCTGAAAGAACAGGAGCTAATACCATTATTTTATTGGCCGGCAGATCGGGTTTTCCTTAATCTACCGCGTGTGAGTCGAATGCTTTCTTCCATGAGAGTCTCTTTTGGGGGAGGGTCCGTGCATTCATTCTCCGGAGATGGTGGCAGCAATTCAGTTTGCGTTGCTTCTGCTTCAGTTTCCGCAGGCTGGCTGGTTGTTTCGGATACAGTATCTGCTTTCTGGTTATTTAAGGATGCTGAACGTGTAGGTGGTTTAGCCAACTGTGAAGGAACTTTTGAAGGTCCCACATCTTCAGCTAATTCCCATTGGTGTTGGCTTGAAGATGTGCTGGATGCTGGTGATGACGGTTGTTTAGCCCCGGATTGTGCTGATTGTGCTTTACCAGATGTTTGACGGTTCGGCCCACCAGAGGGTTGGGAAGCCCTAGCACTCTGTGCCTGAGAATTCCGAAATTACGAAGGAAAGAAATAATCACTACAAAAATAGAGTTGGTAAAGATTAATCAATTTCAACTGCTATAGACATTCAACTAATATACATCAATTACATCTGTACGTACAGTTTAATGCGTGATAATGAGAAGCCATTTTCACAAAACATACAATTGATGGTTTCACATAACCAAATAGAATCGGTTTTAATTCAATAAATACCTGAGCATTGTTAGGTCTTGGGGTTGACTGTGAAGCAACATACTGCAGGATCTCAAAAATTCTAGTCTGGCCATAGCTTGCAGCTCTTTGCCAGTAAAGAACTGCCATATCTCCAGCTCTAGTCCTTAGTTCCAACAAGTTACGGTCGATTTCGTTTTCGTGTTTAGCAACATATGTCTAAAGAAAGAGTCATACACGTAGGTGGTTCCCTGACATAAATGAAAACAGAGGGCCAATTAAAAACAAGCATCAACCTTAGATGGCGGAGTAAATGTTATTAGTATTTCTTTAGAAGATTGTGCACCTACCCTAGTTTGAGGGTACCACAGATATATATAGAATGACAATTTAGCTTCACTGTACATCGGAACCCTTCAAAAAGCAAAGTAGGAACACAGTGAGAAAGCAAAAAACAGACATGAGCACATCCTTGTCATTTTATTATATCTTACCATGAAATGAAAGTATCACCAATTCGCTCACAAACGGTTTAAAACAGCCCCAATATCCTGAAACCAGAAAAAAAGATTGGGAAGAGAGGACAGAAGAAAATTACAACATAAATAACATTTGCACCATCTTCACACAAAAAAAACAATAGCACGTAAGACCAACCAGTACTGGCACCAAACCTCAGTTGATCAATATCAGACTTGTTCATTTCCACACTTTTATAACATTCATATGCTGGATATGCATAGCCAAAAACCATCCTGCCAAAGTATTTAACAGTGAAAAGGATACAATTCAAGTAAATAATAAATTTAAACTAAAATGAAAAAGAGAATCAGTTTAAGATAAGGCATACACGAGTCCTCTGGTAAGAAGGGATCCAATCATTTTGTTCACTTCCTGGTGAAAGAAAACACTTCATGAAGTTAAAAGTCGGTGACAAAATCAGCATTATAAATCCCATAAACATGAAAAGTCTATGGAATGTCAATTAAGAAAGTATTGCACAAGTCTCTACCATAAGCTTGCAAAAGACAAAACTAAAAAAAATGATTACTGAGAATTGCTACCTAAGTTTGTCCACTCTCTCTTTAATTCTTTCCTTAATGTATTCCCAAAGAGGAGGGGTTATTCCAGTTCTGACAACCCAAATATGCAGTAAATCATAGTCAAACAAGGCCTATTCAAAGGTGAAACTTAGAAATGTCTTGTCCCCATAAATCAAAGGGGTAAAAAATAAACTAAAAAGATCTAAAACTTTAATCCACAAGCTAATGGTCGAGATCCTCTTAGCTGCTCAAGGAAATACTCTTAAAAACTTAGTTGAGCAAGAATTTTCAGATACTAGAAATGAAAACAACATGAAAGCTGCTAGGAATATCCATTACCCTGAGTTTTCTGAGCAACAAACAGAGGCGTAAGACTAACGTAATGTTATAAAGTTCAAAAACAATGATTCAACTAATCAACTCCACTGAATCTAGGTACAGCATGGAACAATCAAGTGTCAAAAATTTATCCAACGGACCGCGCGGATAAGCATTGCAAGCGAACAAATCGTAGGAGAGAAATGCTACAATATCGAGTTCAGTAAAGAAATTAAACAACGCAAAGGACGAAATTCCTATGCAGGGAACTAGAAAATGATTTTAAAAAAAGGGGGTTTAAAGAACAAAAAAAAAATCCCAATAAATATAGCTATCAGCAATGTGATGCCAGATGAATCTTGATCTCGGAATTTCAGAATCAATCACCAGATATAAAGGGAAAATGACAGTTCGATTGATACCTTTTAAAGAGATTTTCCAATAGGAAAACGAAGCTAAACAAAAGCACACTCTACTAAAATCTGGAAATGGGAGTCAATCCAAAGCACTGAAAAGCGATAGTCGAAGAGCAAAGGATTCCAAGTAAATCACAAATGCGGTTTTGAGTAGATCGCCGGCGAACTGTATAATCACCGCCTCAAGAATCCGACGAGTAACCGTTAAGAAGTCGGCGGAAGCGGATAGAGAGAGAAAAGACTTTTGAGGGGGAAATTTTATAAAAAAATGAAAGAGAGAGTAATACCTAATTGCACAATTCGTGTCGCAGTCGTTATTTTTCAAATTTTATCCACCGGATTTGACAGGAATTTATATTGATTAAAAAATTATTTCGTTTGAAATTTATTTCATGTCGATTTTTAAATGTAATAATGATCCACATTTCAGATCGTTGCATTAATCATATTCATAACGTTAATCTCCCCATCCTTTTTAGTTTTTTATTACAGTGCAAAGACAACAAATTCTTTGATTTTGGTATTTTTATAATTTATTATATTTATTTTTATTTTTAACAATTTTTCAAAGATTAAACCTAAAATTGCTATAAATTAAATGTTTAAATATAAACTTTTTCGAACTAAAATACACACTCACAGTCGTTTATAATTTGAGATATTTGAGATTAAAACTTCAATATTTATATTCGAGGTCTTCATAAAATTACTAATAAAAAAGGGTAAACTACACGGGAGACCATAAACTATGGTAAAAATCAATCTGACACCGAACTTTCAATTGAATCAATCAAACCACTCAACTATTTAATTGATTCAATCAAACCACCTGCCGTTAATTTTTAACAGAGGTGGTGACGTGTCCGTTAATAAAATTGGCATAATTATATATTTGGTATTTAATATTTACATATTCTATCAATTTAGTCACTCTTTTAATTCAATTAAATAAATTTAACTATCCAATAGAGTGACACGTGTTAATATACATGATTAGAAGATTTTATTTATAATTTTAAATTATTTAATTAATATTTTTATCCAATCAGGTGGAGACATATGTCGCCACCAATTGAAATGAAATAAAGGGATAATCTTGTGTCAAGGGGAATCAAACTAGGGACTTGGGAGATAGATCAGGCGCTCAAACCATTGGGCCAAAGGACCCTAATGGTTTAAAGTTACATCAATTTGTATTTGACTTATAAAAATTTGTTAACGATAAAAAATTAAACAAATTATTATAAATTAAATAAATTATTCACGACTAATAATTTTCAAATAAATTTTGGTTCGATTGACGGTTAAAGAAAAAATTCGGTTAATTCGGATAGGTTAATTGAACCAAAATTTATTTGAAAATTATTAACCGAACTGAATTAAAAGATTTTTTTGAAAATTATTAACTGAATTAATCGAGAAAAAAATTTGATTAATTCGGTTCGGTTAATCGAACCAAAATTTATTTGAAAATTATTAATCGAACTGAATTAATTTGAAAATTATTAACCAAACCGAATTAACCGATTTTTTTTAAATTATTAACTGAATTAATCGAAGCAAACAATTCAGTTAATTCGGTTAGGTTAATCGGACCAAAATTTATTGGAAAATTATTAACCGAACCGAATTAATTAAAAATTATTAACCGAATCGAATTAACCATTTTTTAAATTATTAATCAAATTAATCGAAGCAAAAAATCGGTTAATTCGGTTCGGTTAATCGAACCAAAATTTTTTTGAAATTATTAACCGAACCGAATTAAACGAATATTTTTTCTTTAACCTATAATCGAACTAAATTATTGAAAATTATTAACCAAAAACAAAATTTCGATTATTCGGTCAATTTTCGAATTAGCGAATTTTTTTAAAATTTTTAATTATATAAAAATTGAATATTTTTAATTAAAAAAGTTTACAATTAATTTAAATAATAATTTGTTTAATTTTTTATCATTAACAAACTTTTACAAGCAAAATACAAAGTGTTGTAACTTTAAACCATTGGAGACTTTTAGTCCAATTTTTTGGGCTCTTGCTCCATCCCCCAAGTCCTTGGTTTGATTCCCCTTGAACACAAGATTATTTTTATTCTCATTTCAATTGATGGTGATATGTGTCACCATCCTGATTATAGAAAAATATTAACTAAATAATTTAAAATCATAAATAAAAATTTCATCATATATTGACACATATCTCGTTCTAATTGATAGTAAATTTATTTAATTGAATTAAAATGGTGACTAAATTAATAGAATATGTAAATATTAAGGACCAAATATAATTATGTCAATTTATTAACGGACATGTCACCACCTATGTTAAAATTAACGGCCGGTTGTTTGATTGAATCAATTAAATAGTTAGGTGATCTAATTGATTCAATTGAAAGTTCGTGGTCACATTGATTTCATGTCTGGTCTGTTTTGAGTAAATTAGAAGCAAACCAACGATGGAGGGGCCAAAGAGTAAAAAAGGAACAATTCAACAACCGAAAGGAACAAAGCCCCAAGGGTTGGTACATAAGGCAAAAGTTAAGAAAAACATGTGGGAAAGGAAAGGCATGTGAGGAAGGATTTCCCCAAAGACTTGGATTCCACGTTTCTGAACCTAACCACAACATGCCCGTAATAGTTCATCATTGTGTGCTTGAATTAAGGTCTTAGAAGATAACGACGAGTATGGTAATCGTATAATAAATAGGCATCGAAATTTTACATGGAAAACTCTTTCGGAAAAAATCACAAACATTTCTAGCACGGCTCGTGACATAGCCTAAGACATTTCTTCCTCCATTGCTCTGATCCAAAGAAGGTTGTGCCTCGGACTGTCTTTTTCTTTTTCTCGCCCGTAATAGTTCATCATTTGTTGTGCTTGAATTAAGGTCGTATTAGAAGATAACGACGAGTATAGTAATCATATAATAAAATAGACATCGAAATTTTACATGGAAAATTCTTTCGAAAAAAATCACATACATTTCTAGCACGACTCCTGACATAGCCTAAGACATTTCTTCCTCCTTTGTGCTCTGATCCAAAGAAGGTTGTGCCTCGGACTGTCTTTTTCTTTTTCTCTCTGCAATACTCTTATTCAGCTTTTCAGACAGGATTGTTTTGGGGTAATCTTGAAGTTGATGGATTATCAGTATGTGTGGATACTCCATCTAGACATCTATAACAACAATGTACACACATTCTGATCGAATGGTACTTTAATCATAGTGAAAAGTAACGAACTACCTCACTGATAAAGCCACCAAATTTAAATGAGAAAATAATCTCAGTGACCAAAAATCTCAGATAATATACGATTTTGACTAATTTTTTTTGGATTTGCGAAAATGACCAACAAAATCGTAATTCGATTTTCCAAATTCTTTGTGATAGTTAAAAAAAATATTTTGTTTCTCTAAAAAGATAGTATCCGCGCGGACGTGTCGAAGACACGTATTACCATGACCACGATCACGACCACGACCACGACCACGATTTTTGGTCATCGAATTTGCGATAGTGGATATCACATTACGATTTTATTGGTCATTTTCGCAAATCCAAAAAAAATTAATCAAAATCATATATTATCTAAGATTTTTAGTCATTAAGATTATTTTCTCAATTTAAATTCAGTGCTGGTACTTCACTGAAACAATCTCGAAAACTTACCGATTCACATAATTACATTGATAAAAGCAGGTTCGCAGAATTATGGCATACAAAGAAAAAACAAATAACAAAGACCATACGAAACTCTGTCATCTTACCTGACACGGGGAACCTTCACGAAATCCAGAAAAGATACAAATTTATTAAGCAAATATGTGAATGGAAAGGAAGAGAAGAAAACTGAGGTGTATTTTAAAACTTTTTGATAAAAGAAAATAATAAAAAAATTATATCTTTATTTACTCTTTTTTAACAAGTTTAGGAGTATATTTGGATAATACACGTTCCCATTTAATGATATAAAATTATATATATTGGTTTTCCCAATCTTTGATTTTGTTCAATAAGGTGAGAAATAAAATAAAATTAGAAGAATAAAAACTGAACATGAAATTTCTTTCTATTATTATGCTAAATAATATATATAATCTTAGAAAATAAGAAGATGAATGGAAATTTCTCCTTTTTTATTTTTTTTTCCAATTTCCCACTCTAGTGGTCCCATCCTACTTTTCTTCCAAGGCACCTTAAAGAGCTTTAGCAAGGCTAATATTCGAATTCAACCACTCGCAAGTTTCCTTCTAAAACCTCTTGTTAAAAGGAGAAACTTCTATCTATTAATTACACCAATAAATGTGGTAAACAATACCAACAAATAATGTTCAATGTATAGTTTAAACCGCCTATTCTAACGATGGCATCAATGTTAGTGGACATCATCGTCGGCAATCTTATGCATCCCACAACTGGGTGATGCTAACATCAGGATCCGATCGGAACCAGTAATCATCATCAATCTCCTAAGAATGGATAGAAAAAGAAGTCAGTTGAATTTGCTTCGTTTCTGCATAGAACATTCACATTTATGATTTCAAAGAAAAGAAGAAAAAAAAGGGAAAGTACCATGACGACTTTGAATGCACTTACATTACTAACCGTCGGAATTATCTTTGGAATCCCACTTTTCTCGGGGCAAAGCAAATTGACTGTTTTAGAAGAATTATTGTTTTCGGAAGAAGGCTCTGGGTGTTGCACTCCACACATACCATGACAATGTACCCATCGATCCTGCCTGCTTAGCAGTGATATCCTCGACTTGACCACATTTGCTACAACCATTGGGAGATACAGTTATGGAACAATAGTAAACAGTAAAAGGCGAAAGCATAAGAAGAAGCCGAGTGGGGCAACGGATACAAGTTTTGCGTAGATTCACAAACATGTAAAATTACATGATAAACATACCTCAGGAGGTACAGATCAATTGGCCCGTTATGACTTCTGATAATCATTTTATATTGCTTTTGTGAAAAACATTTATCCTGATTACAAACAAATGCAGCTAACAAATCAGATTCTAATGCAGTATAGAAGTTTGAAATTCATTTCACCGGACAACTCACCTCATCGGTATCAGGAACTTCTATATAAGAATATTGAGGAGCTTTAATTGCAAAAACTGTTTGATTCTGAAGAAATAACACATTACAACAGTGACTGTATAATATTTCTCTCACATTTGATTTAGTTCCAAACCAATTTGATTGTATGAATAACTGACCTGGAAGCATGGGAGGCTCATTATATCTTCCTCCGTCAAAAAAAGATACCTTACAGTCCAAAAAAAAGGCTATAACCAGGAAATAAAGAAAAATCTATCTGAAAATGAAATAAAAATGTCAAGTAGAGAGGAGTATACTTTTGATAATTTGCACCTTCGTTCAAAGAACTAAGACTTCGTGCTTTTCTCTGTAGAGAGAACATAACCACTTGTTAAAGCGCTGAATAGGAAAAAAACATTATGGTTGCTTTGGAAACTTGAAAAAGAGAGCTATCGCAACCGTAATCTTCAAAACCTTATGTAATCATCAAGCCTATGTTCTTCGGCATATAAACTTTGAATCTCAGCCTGTAATGAAACCAATTAACGTAGACAGTTAGAAAGGCAGTATAGAACTTCACTTATGCAGTTCCTTCAACACTACTACTTGTCATCCAGCTCCTTTGAACCCATCATCAGATCTCCTGTTAACAATACCTACAGGTTATTATCAATATATATATATATATATATATATATAAAACTCTCAAGATAATGCTTATTACTTCCATCTAATGTGGTTCTTCGAAGTTTTCTCTATCAATCCAATTCCTTCGAGAACATTTGTGATATCATATATCCTTCTCTTTGAACCTGTTGAAGCAAGAGAACATACAAGACAAAAAGACGTATAAAGAATTTGTCAGCAATCAAACAACAGTAACTCAAGTTATCACACTACGATGCCAGTAAAGGGACTGTTACACAATTCTCAAAATTTGCTTCAATAACAGACATAATTCCATTAATTGATTACTGTTATTACATTGGAAGTTGAATCTTTCTTGAGTTAACAATATAAGAATCTGAAAAATCTTACAGAAGGCAAACTTTTATACCTCTAAGACTTCAGCAGTACGATTCAAATCAGGGTGCCATCCTTGCCTCCATGATCAGTTCACAAACTTCTTGTCAACAAGCTGCCGACAAAGATAAGCCATCAATCATCATCATAAGTGTCATCATTATTTTACGCGCAGACATTTAAGGGAAGAAATAAAACAAATAAACCACCTAATGAACTATCATATCGACAGTTGGAACCAGCACCATTCAGTGCAGTGGGAGACTCTGTAAGGAAAACTCGGGCCATTACCATTAATTAACTTACAAACAAAGTCTGTTTAAGTACCAGCCACAATTATCAAATAACAATACCAGAATTTGACTTCTGAGCTCCGGACTGGCATTCTTCTTCCTCTTTGCTTTGCTATTAGCTTAACACCTTCGTGATGCTGGGATTCAAGTAAAGGATAGGGAAGGTCTTTATCATGTTCAGGGACATCTGCTCTTCCACTTGTCTGAGCCTCCCCATTCTCTCTTTCTGCCATGTGCTTCAACTGCCCAAAAACATTAAAATGTTCAATAAGTACCTGTCAAATAATAGTTGAACTTTCAGCTTCAAATGCAACAAGATGATTTTTAACTAAGCTTTATCGTCTCCCTATGGACTCGACAACAAGCAAAAAAAAATTGGTAATCAAATAGTTAAGCTACAAATAGAAAAGTGATCATAAAACAGAAACATTTATAACAATTTCTCTATAGATACCACCTTTCCAATCCTTAGTACCAGCATAGCCTTAATTTTAAAATAATCATTAATTATAGTTCATATGCGAAAAGTAGAACAGTAACACTTTTTGTTCATACATTTGTACGTTTTCTTTCCCTCCAATTATATTCCTTCCAATACGAGACTCATTCAACAAAAAATAACAAATCAATTTCCAGCATCATGGTTAGCCTCTTACATCGGTCTATTTTACATCCTTACAAACTAAAAAATTAACATCACGTACTCTAATTTCCCCCTTTAATCACATTTTCCTCATTCCTCTGTTTCCGCTCCTTCCTATGAAACATAGATCAAATACATTAAAAATCCAGTTTCCTTAACATGTTATCATACAAGTCTATAACAATCCATTTCGAAATACAAATAAGCTGGAAAAAACCATAAGTTGAGCATGAATGTTTAAAATATACATTCGTTGATAAAAATAAAAAATAATTGGGAAGAAACTCACGGAGGGAGTGGCGGAAGTCGAATGGGAGAGATCGAGGCGAGTATTGATGTGATCAAATGAAGAAAGAGAAGAGGCGGCCTCCCTAATGAGTTGGAAACATTTTTTCGCCATGTGACAACGGCTGCTTTGATTTTCATTGCTTTCAGTGGTGAAAGACTGTGAATGCGAATGGAGAAGCCGGAACTGAAATTGCGAAGCGGAGCTCGGATCTTCGCTCGATTTCACCATTAAGTCAGCCTTTATTTTATCGTTCTGAAAATAGAGCGTTTGGAAAAACAGAGGGGCGCCGATATTTTAGAGGGATTACAATTAAATTGAAAAAGTATAATGATATTAGTCCTTGATATATATATTTATATTTTTGTAACTTGATCTTAATTTATTTATTTATTTTGGAATCAAATTCTAAATCTCTTATTTATAAGATTTAGGTAATGACAATTTAATTGAATTTGAAAGTTGAAGCTTAAAGAGATCCTTTAGAAGAAAATATTGAACAAATATTTAGAAATAAATTTTAGAGGTTAAATTTGTTAATACTAAATCTAAAAGTTAGGGCGATTCTTTGATGTACGAGATTCATTCTTTTATTTGAACGGAGAATCACAATCGATGATTACATGGAGATTAATGAACTGAAAATGGTGCATAATATGGGTCTAAGAGAAATAAATTTATATCTCTTTTCAATATTGCATGAGGTTATATATGCATCTTAGTGTTGCCTCGGCCTTAGGTTAAATATTATTTGTAGGCTAAAAAATAAAATAGTCGTATGACAAAAGATTTGACCCTAACAAATCTCATGAGTCTATTAAGATTTTGTCTAGAGACTTTAGTTTGCCAAAAGATATGAAATTTTAAAAAATTCGATTAATGAAAAAGTTCCTTCGAAGAATTCGATAGACATAAGAGTAGTTCCTCCAAAGATGCATCACATAATAACAAATTTATTAACTTTGAAGAGTCATGTATCTTCTTCAGCAAGGGTACAAGCGAACATTTAAAGATCACTATTGATGCGATTTTAGAGACTCAAGTGGTGCAATCTTTGGGTCACTATTTTGGCTTTCCACTCACTATCAGCAAGAACATGATCAATGTCTCAGCTTCCTTAGAGACCGAATGTCAAAACGTGTTCAAAACTAGACTAAAAATCTATTTTCCTTTTGTGGTCGTGAGGTATTCTTGAAGGCGATTGTCCAAGCTCTATCAACTTATACAATGACATGTTATCTACTACCTGAAGGGATACTAAATGATATTACTTCCACCATGAGAGCTTACTGGTGGTTGGGAAGAGCAAACGAGAGGATGGTCCATGTTTCATGGCAAAAAATTTGCCGCTCAAACGCAATTGTGACTCGGATTCAGAGATTTGAAGCTTTTCAACGCCGCCCTTGCTAGTAAACAGGTATGAAGACTTCTTCATAACAAAGAAACTTTATGCTACAAAGTTTTGGCCGCTAAATACGTCCCCAAAAGCAACATACTTGAGGCTAGACAAGGTGATATAACGTTCTTTGCATGGTCCTGCATCTTTAAGGCCAAAGAAACCCTTAAACAAGCCTTCTAAAGAGTTTGAGTTCAAAGCAAAACTAAAATGCATTCTAACCACTAGAGTAGTTCTTCAAGAGTTGAATTAGTTGATACATACGTTGATAACAACAATAATACAATCACCTGCGGAAAATTTATGGTTCAAGGTAAACCTGAGTGGGATGCAGTCAAAGTTCGCCAAGTTTTCAACCCTACCGACGCCCAGACGATTTTTGCTTGCCCCATTGCCAGATGCAACCATTATCTTGTGATATGGGGCCATCATTCATTAGGTGTTTACTCTATAAGATCCGCGTATCATTAGCTTTTGAAGTACAACAATGTCCAACGAGTCTCTTCAAAAATGTGGAACGCCATAGCAAAGTCTCCAGTTCTTCCAAGGATCAGGATTTTCGGTTGGCGCATATGTCAAGAGGCTCTCCCAATAGGCTCGAAACTCTTATCTACAGGTATAGGTGATGGTTCCTGTAAAATGTGCAATGAAATCGAGGAGTTAACGATCCATGCCCTCCGAGACTGTCTTTTGGCCAGAGAGGTCCTTTCTTACAGTCAATGGGATATCCGTGTTTTCAACACATCTTTAATCTATTGTAAAGATTGATTTGAAGACTTATTGGACCTTCTTGATAGAGATATGTTTGCTCTACTACTTACCCTAATGTAGCATCTGGATAAGGAGGAATAAATGGGTACATGAGGAAACCATGCAGCCAGCAAAGGTTGTTCACGAAATCACTTGCTCCTACATGATCACTCATTTGAAAATTTCAGTGGTGGTAAAATCCTTTTGAGAAGGGAAACGATATGTCTATATTTGGATTCTATGTAACGATAGACAACATAAATCACATAACAAGAAATCGAAATATTAGTTTTGTGAAGTTTAAGGTGTTTTCTGATTAAATGAACAATAGATTCATATTTAAAAGAACAAAATAAATTTATTTGAAAATTTTAGGATTCATCGATCACTAACTACAACGTTGGTCGGAATTCAAGTTGGTTCAATTAGAAGGAGAGAAGAAAAAAAGATGTAATATATATTTTTTTCTTTTATAAGAATTCAAAACAACGATTTTTTTGAGATCCTAGACAACGTTATTTTGGTATATTATGATCGATTATCATGTCATCGCAACGTTAATATTTAACGTTTAAATAAATAAATAACAACAGGATCATGGTCGGGTGGTTTTTTATTTTATTTTTAATAATGATTAAACCAAAGTGAAAATAAAGTCAGTCGATGGAATTTGTAATTACCCAAAGTTTTAGTATTTAAAAAGCAGCACACAAGCCCAACTCATAACAAAATAACGGACCTTGAAACAAGACCCTTCTTATTTACTGGTTTGGACACGATACATACCAAATTAATTTTAGATTTGTCAAATTAGATTTAAGAATTTTTACTATGTTCAAGTTTTGGACTCAATTTTTATATTTTAATTTAATATAATTTAATCATATAATATTATTATTACATATTTAATATAAATAGTTAATTTTATTATTTAATTTGATTAAAATAAGAACAAATTTTTTTCTTAAAAGCACCTATTTCAACCAATCATGTAAACATTGATTTTTTTAATGTAGAAAGGGTGTTTTTTTAGGAAAAAAATACCATTAACATTTTTATCCAAAATCATTAATTATGTTAACTATTTAGATTAGTTGATGATATTATAAAAATATAATTGTTAAATTAAATTTAGATTTTAATATAAAAATTAAATGTCAAATGCGAGAGTAGTATTATGATACAAAATAAAATTTAAGTTTTTAGATGTGCATGATACACTAAAATAATTAAATTTGAATTAATATGAGAACATGATTAAATTAAATTTGATTTTGGTTGAGTTTGACATTTTCTGAGATGTGGATAAAATTTTATCAATTTTCTAATTGAATTATTCCAATTTCTAAAATGAAATGGGGCATGAATGAGCCAGAAAACACATGGAAGATCGGCTATTAGGTGAGCTTCTACCATACATAAAACGGTCCATAAAACATCACGACAACCGCAAAATATTGAAACCTTTTAGCTCTATTTATAATGTACCTTCAATTGTGATCATAAGGGAGGAGCATGGTCGGCCAACTAACATGAGCTATGCGAATCCCACACTTCCATATGTCTGGTTTTTGTGCTACACTCACGAACCCTCTAGCCTGCCCCTGCTCTGCCAATATATATATATAAAAATTTATGGTTTACTCGTTTTTTAATCTTTGGATTATTTGCATTTAATGATTAAAATTAAAATTTTTTAAATGGGAGATAATTCATTTTTACTTTTTACCGTAAAAATTTCATTTTCTATAATTAATTTTAATAAATTTAACTAATCTAACTATCTAAAATATGTGTAAAACTTAGTAAAAATTATATCAATAGACTCTACGCCACATATATATATATATATAGAGAGAGAGAGTTTGACTCGAGTTATACAGTGTGAATCTTTTTAAGTTTACAATGATATAGGATCATTGAATTACTATTAATTGATGAGTATGATCAAAAGTTAAAAGTAAAGAGACTCTTAGCTAAAAAAAAGGAACTGAATAATCACATCCATTAATTTATACTCATTCAATTATCTTAAATTAATATTTTTTTTTTTACTCTTTACGATTGAAACAAGTAAATAGTCATGGTCCTTGACTCATGGATCAAACTATCATAGATACAGAATAGTTAAAAAAATAAAACCTAAATCTTTTCAATAAATCTCCAAATTAGAAATATTAGTGGAAACGAAAAATAAATAGTATCTAACTTTAAGTCAGAGCGTCTCATCGATGTAGAATCTGACATGCCCTAATAACTCCCAATAGATGACAACCAATATGATAGAATTGGCAGAAAAATTATATTAATTGAGTACTTAATTACTTATGAAACATCTTTGTATATTTTTCTAAAGAACAAAAAACAATAGTGAGTTAGGAACTAAAATTGTAATTAGACCATAAATCATTTTTAAAGAAATAAAGTTTCTAAATGAATTATATTAATGATTAGGTTTTTTCCTCTAGGCATATAATAAAGAAACAATTTATTTTCAGTAGTACTTGCAAGGAATCATTCTTTTATTAATTACTTTCTGTGTGGATTTGTTAGTTTTATTGTTATTATTTGTATAATGGATCGGATAATAAGTGATTCGGTTCCCATAGTGGGACAAGGGAACAATGCTTTCTTTTTCGAGCCAATGGTTGGCCAAATCTGTATCTGAGTTCCAACAACTCTTGGAAAAAAACAGAGATGCTTTCATTTTATTTTGTTTTCTTCAGTGATTTCTCTTATAATATGAAGTTATTATTAAATATAGTTTAAACAGATACAGTTGTGCAGTGCTCTCTAGCCTCTTCTACTGAAACTGTTCACTTGTTTTTACTTATATTTATAATTTTATTACAAAATTTAATAAATACATTTATTTAAATTTAACTCAAATAATTTAATTATATCTTATGCATCCAAACTCAGCTCGATTTAATTACATACTAATGGAAAGTACTGACAGCATGTTTTTGTAGCGCATGCACACCCGCAATGGATAGCGATTGACAATACGGACATTGGAATACGCAAATTGGCGCGAATGGGATGGAAGACTCCCCCGTTTTATCTTTCTGCGCTTCTTATATGGTGCTCTTTGTCTCTTGCTCTTTTGTTTTTTGCTAATTTTTCGAATCTGGACCCACAATTTTCCACATCATTATGCTACACCAAAGTAATAACCTAATTCTCCACATTCATTTTCTCCCTTTATTTATAGGTATAAAATCAAAACAAATTTTAGTCAACGAGTGTTGGTACAAGTTGTTGGAATTTAGGAATTTAAGTTTGTAAGGTCAAGTTTGAATCTTACTACCGTCACTTTTAGTTGACAATCTATAAAATCCTATGTAAATCTCAATTGAGTCTTAGATATGTTTTGGTCCTGGATTAGGGGAGCCACCCTGACCTAAACTTTATGTAAAAAAATCAAATTTGATCCTTTAATATTTGAGAAAAATAATTAGTTTCCTCGTTTTTAATTACTTTAAAATTTAATATTTTATTTTAAATTAAAATAGTTATTTTAAATAAAAATATGAATTAATTAATTATTAATGTTTGTTATTGATGTTTTAAATAAAAATATGATCAGGGTGGAGATTAGTGAGGGCCCAAAGGGGGCATAGCCCCGTTTAAATTTTGTATATTCGATATATTTTTTGTCTAATAGTATTTTGGTTATGTAAAAAAAATATTTAAATTAAAAAAATATAAGAATATATTAAATATTTAATTAAATAAGAAACGAAATAAAGAATGATAAACTTGTGTTCTCAAAATTTTTGGTCTAATAATAATTTAGGTCATTATAAGTTACATATTAGACAAATTATGTGTTATCTTGTGAATTTTGAGTTTTTATTTTATTTTATATTTTATAAATATAGGGTGAATACAAGGTAATATTTGTACAAAGATCTCAATATTAGACAATGAATGTTCATACCACTACATGCGCAGTGCTCAAACTCGAAACCTCAATGATAATAACAATCTTTTTGTAACACCCCCAACCCGTACCCGACCCGAATACGAGTATGAGGTGTCACATTAACTAAATTAAAGCGGTTTATTTACATAAATTGACCAAAATCGATCAGAGCATATTCAACTAAATCAATTAGTACATGCCAACTATAATCAAAATAACCAAACACATTTAAATCATCTATTTTCTGATCTGAAATTTTGTAAAGGAGATGCTGACATGTCTTACTCTTCTTCGCTTCTCTTCTCGCTTATATAACCTACGTGTGAAACAATCACACGCTAAGTTTATGACTTAGTGAGGCATTAAACTTATAAAAGAAACTCTAAATGCTTAAACGTGTATGAACATATCACTTCATGATGTCACACAATCATTCTATATAACATAATTTACACATATACACATCACACATTATTTCCATCATAATCTTATTATATTATTCATACTATTATCATTTATATCCTTTAATCATACCTTTTTATCAACATATGACTCATTCAAACCATACACACATCATCATATGAATCATATAATACAATTCATATCACAAAAGCATATACTTTACATGTAATATATATATTTATTGTTATTTCTTTGTTAGCCCATGTACATATGTGAGAACTGTAGATATGTGAGTCTATTGAGGTTGTGCACTATGCTGTCACCACAGCTCGTAAGGGGTCCCACTAGGGGCTATGAAATTTTGTCCCGAAGGACCACTATGAAATATCCGGGAAGATCACTGTATGTCCCGAAGGACCGCATAAACCATCGACTCTTAGCATGCCAACTATACCTATAGCTCTCGTATCATATAACATGGGCATTTTCACTTTATCATTTCACATGTACACTTTCATATCACATGTCATATAAGCTCATAGCTTCTTTTCATATTCTCATAGGATCACATAGCTCATATCTTATACTTTGTTTTCTCATGTTCACATATATCATGTCATATAGCTCATATCTTTCTTATGCAGCCATATAGTTCAGTTTCACATATGTTCATATATATACATCACATAACACATACTTATCATATCATTACATTCAAAAGCATGTTAACACATATAATCATGCATACATACAATTCATGTCATGCATATACGTATAATCATATATTCATGCATTCTAACATATGAAATAGACTAGTCACAAGTCTTGTTTCCATTTAGCATCATAAACTAACTAATATGCACTCACATTGGCCTCACTTGCTATCAATTACTCCTATGACTTTCTTTCTCTTTTGGATCAATTCTAATCTTTCAATCATTCTGGAACTTGCTCTTGATCGATATCTACACAATCATATATTTATACTATCAGTATCCAATTGATATACTCTAATCTATCATTTCTTAGACAAAAAGAAAGGTATAATTCTATTTTCCCCTTGAAGTGCATCGATACATTCTACAGTGTATCGATGCATTCTTTAACATGTGCATCGATGCACTACTCATGCATCGATACACAAATCACCTTCGATGTTTTCATTTTAAGGGGTGCATCGATGCACTAACTGTGCATCGGTACACTCAAAGCATTCGATGTTTCTTCTTTAAAGAGTGCATCGGTACACATTGAATGTGCATCGATACACTTTGCCCAGAATTTGTAGTTTACGCCCGAAAAACATCAACTCTTCATCAATTCTTCTATTTTAGGCCCCTATCATGTCATTAAACTCAACTACCATTACTTAAACCAACTTGTATTCATATAAATCATCTTTATCTTATATATCTCATCATGATTCTTAAAATTAAGAATCTTACTAAACTTTCAACTTTGTTATTAATCCTTTCTAACTTTATAAATCTCTTATTCTTAGTGATGACAAGTCAAATTCCTTCTCAAATTTCACTTATTAACTATTTCCCAAAAATTCATCTAAAAACTCATTTTCTTTAATCTCTTCTATATCTTTCATCTTGTTGTTTTAGAACAAATTAAGCTTTTCTTAAGCTTAATTATCATCTAATGATCATAACTCAACCTTAAAATCAACAATTAATCAACAAACAAAGAAACTCACCTTTGAGCTTGGAGATACGGGAGGAGGAAGAAGAAGAAAGAAAACTTATGGAGAATTCTCTCATTTCCCACGTGGTTCCCTTATCTTATAAAGGAAAATAAAAATCTTACTTGTCAATTGACCATTTTACCCTTTAATTCTTTCAATAATTACCAAACAACCTTCAACTATATTTCCCATAAATCATTGAACTATTCAATTATTCTACTTTAATCACCAGATTCTGAAATATTTCAATTTGGTCACTAACCCGATATTGAGGATGTTACACTTTTAATCACTAAGGTCGCTTGATTCGTGTTGAATTTTGAGTTTAAATACCTAAAAATTCTTTACATTTTTATTAAATATTCTAATATTTTGGCCACTGTCAATATTTAGTCTTGGCTCCGTCCCTGGATTTGATATTTTTATATGTACTTAATTTTTGAAGTTATATATGTCATGTCATTGTTTTTTATGACATAATATATATCACTTCATAACTTTTACTAACATGAGATAAGTCACATAGTCACTTGTTGTTAATTGTTAATGTGACATATGTTATGATAGTAATTAATCACATGTATAAACATTATGTCAACGATAAGTATTATAATATCTTTTATTTAACAAAGGATATTTTGACAAAATTTAAAAGTCTAAAAAATAAAGAATAAAATAACTATTTAAAAAAATGTTAAAGGATGAAGTTATACATTATATTTTTTAAAATATCATATATTAAGGAAAAATGAGAATAAAATTAGCTGGTGCAAAAAGCTTATGCAAATGTCACGAATTTATTATTTTATTTTTAAAAATATGTCGATGTACAAGACTATTATTTTAAACTTCAAAATATTTAATTATTTTATCTACCTTATTTGAAAATTAGAGCGTGACACATGCATCATTCCGAAAGTAATATTAATACTCTTGTAATTTATATCAATAAATATTAAGTATAATGATAAGATTTTATTTTATAGAAGAGTATTAAAGTTTGAATTTTAAACATTAATATTATTAAAAGGGACAATCAAATATCTTCAATATAAATTATAAAATCGAACATTGATAATAAGGCGTGATATATGTACAATATCAAAAGAAATAGTAATAATCATGTAATATGTATAAATAAATATTGAATTTAATAATAAAATAATTTACAATTTTAATAAAAAATTGAGGTTAGAATTTTATTAAAAGAAATAGTCAAATAATTTAAATATAAATTGTAAGATGAATAGTGTAATTTGTTATTAGAACACTTTTACATTGAAATTTGTATTTATTTACCTAGACAAATTAGGCGAAGTAAACATTGAGATTGAAAGTAACTTTGCATTTCAAAGCTGCCTTTGACTCATGCTCGGTTCTAAACGAGTAACGACAATAAAGTCTAAAATCACAGTTCGCTGTTAAAAGAAGTTCGTTTTCGGATTATAAGCACTCACAGTTTCTAACTTTATTTTTATCTACATAGAAATTCTCTAACTAACTATATTTGTATAAATAAAATATTAAGTATTTAAATTCATTTAAATTTTTAACCATTCACTATAAATGTCAAGTCAACTTATATTCATTAACCTTTGTCATATTTTAAAACTTTCTTATTGCAACATTAATACAAAATTAAATCTAAACTGTAACATTTTTTATAGAAAAAATTAATTCAAACATGAAATTATTATCAATTAAACAAATGATACTGCGACAATTACTCCAGCCAATGCCATCATAGTCGTCCGAAAAAACATATAAAAGAACCATCCATTTACTAAAACAGTGGCGAACCGTTGGATTGAATTACTTCTCCGTTGACCCGGTCCAATATCAATGGATGACTCGCGTCGTGATCTATGTTAAGTGGTCCATAACCTAATCACTTGTAGGAAAGATAAGGAAAGTGTTAAAATAAAAAATAAATTAAACAAATAAAAGTGGAAGAAAACATTAATGCAATAAATAAACAGCGACCCCACTCCCACCCTCCTCACTTCCCCTCCTTATTACCCCCTCTAGATCCACCACCATTTGCCCACAAAAAATAATACGAAAAAGAGGGCTCAATCTCCTCTTCTATTTTATTACCATGGCTGCGCTCACTTCCTTGCCGGACCCGGCGCCGGAGAAAACGAAACAACCGCCGCAGCGGCGGAGGAAGCAGGTGAAGAAGCAAAAGCAACCCTCGTCTTCTTGGGACCAAATCAAGAACTTGCTCACTTGCAAACAGATGGAAGGCTCCAAGGTTCACGACCCGGCCAAGAACCAGGTGGCGCCGCCTCATCAACAAGGGTACCCGAAGATTAGTTCCTCCTGTAACTCTATATGCAGCTTCCGCGACGTTGTTCATGGCAACACGAGGGTGGTTCACCGAGCCGATAACTCACCCGAGAGTAGCACGGTGGGTCGAGAAACCGCGCTGCTGAGACGCAAAGCTGTGAATGGCTCATCGTCTCGGTCGTTGTCCGGGTCGACGAGATCCAATAACAGCAGCTCGAGGTACACGACGACGACGTCTTCTTCGAGAGCTATGCAATTCAGGAAACTTTCTGGGTGTTACGAATGCCATACGATCGTTGACCCAAGCAGGTAAATTATATTACCATCTAAATATCCCCATAATTTTTTTCTTGTTTTCAAGAATTAAATTATGAAATGTTAAAATTTTCAGGTATCCATCGTCAAGAACAACTATATGTGCCTGCCCACAGTGCGGTGAGGTCTTCCCAAAAATCGAAAGCTTGGAACTTCATCAAGCTGTTCGCCATGCAGGTACACTAAATTTACAGTACTATTTTTGTTTTAATGAAAATTACTATATTTAGTTTTTTTTTTTACAAATCAGTCATTTTTCTGTGGGTTAATTTAATTTACATCTGCTTCAAAACAAATTACCCCCAACTTTTTATTTGCCGTAAATTTTGTCCCACCACACCCAACATATTTACTGATGATAAATTAAATATCACAGATGTCCCGTTCATTAATAATAGGAAGACTCGATATATGACGTGGCGTTTTACTAGTGCATGCTGTAACCCTAAATTTACACGGCTTATGAGGACCATGCCACACCGACAAAGTCAAACTAATATTTACCATTAATGCAAAACTTAAATTATTAGATTAATTTAATTTTGATATGAGTCGTTTGTTTTGTTGGCGTAGTTTCGGAGTTGGGCCCTGAAGATTCGGGTCGGAACATAGTGGAAATCATTTTCAAATCCAGCTGGCTAAAGAAGGACAATCCGATCTGTAAGATCGAACGGATACTGAAAGTTCACAACACCCAGCGCACCATCCAACGGTTCGAAGACTGTCGCGACGCGGTGAAAACGCGCGCTCTTAACAGCACCAGAAAGAACCCCCGGTGCGCGGCTGACGGCAACGAACTCCTCCGGTTCCACTGCACGACCCTTTCGTGCTCTCTCGGCGCGCGTGGCTCGTCCAGCTTGTGCAGCTCGATCCCCGGTTGCGGCGTCTGCACCATAATCAGACAAGGGTTCCAAAACAACGCTGGTGGAGGAGGAGGAGGAGGAGGAGGGACCGCGCCAGTCGCAGAATTCAAAGGGGTCGGCACTACGGCTAGTAGCGGTAGGGCCCACGACTCAATCAAGTGTGGCGACGGACGTAGGGCCATGCTGGTTTGCCGTGTGATCGCGGGGAGGGTGAAGCGAGTGACGGAAGACGCGCCGTCGTTGGGGGAGGATAATAATAGTAGCGGCGTATCTTCTTCGTCTGGGTCGTACGATTCTGTAGCGGCGCACGCCGGGGTTTACTCCAATCTGGAGGAGTTGATAGTGTTTAATCCGAGGGCTATCCTTCCTTGTTTCGTAGTTATTTACAAAGCGTTAGAATATTGACTCATGAAAACGTCAAATGTCATCATTTTCATATATTATTCTAATCAACCGATGTTCCATAACCGTGTAAATCAATTTTGAGCTTACGTTGTGCCACATGGGAGCAAATCCTATATGTTTTCTTTTCTGGAATTGAGTTTTTTAATCTCAACTGGTTAACCGCAGGCGTGGCAGCTGACATCTGTTGCGCCAACTTTAATATTTTGATGGTTACTAAAAACTAAAACTTAATTTAATTAATTTCTTGGTGTTTTTCCCAAAAATATAACTGGTGATCGGTATATTTATCGATCTAACATCGGTCAGATTATATTTTTTGATCTAACAACCGTAGCAGTAAAGGGCGCCTCTGAACCGTGTTATATGCTGATTTAGCGTCACGTGGAGTGTAGCGCCCTCTGTACCGCGCTATACACTAATTGGGTTACACGTGGGATATAGCGCGCCCCCTGCTCCGCACTATACGTCACGTAGGGGTATAGCGCGGATCAGGGGGCGCACTATACGCCGTACCAAAATTATATTTAACGTGATCCCTGGTCTGCGCTATATAATAATTACATATAACGCAGTGCATGTACCACACCTTATATGTTTATAAATACACTCCTCCGGTTCTCACATCTCCTCGCATCTCTCTTCTCTTATAAATTAATATAACAATTCGGTCAACGAGTAATAATTCTGGCAATCTTCTCATATTTGATTTAGAAGTTCGTGCGATTTTTCGTTATAAGGTAATTTTGTTATAATTTTTTAATTATACTTATTGTTTATTATCATTATTTGAAAAATATTATACTAATTATTTTCAATTAATTTTTATGTTTGTAAAATTGAAAAGCGGGAGCATACGTCGAAATAGTTTTGCGGTGCAAGTAATAATATAAAATTATATTATTTAAATTATTTACGTTGATGTGTAAAAAAAATTTTGTGTTATATTTTCGTTCATATATAATTTATTTAATCAGGTTTGTTTCAGTTATTTTTTTTTGCAGATATAATATTATCGTACTTTTAAACTCAAAGAATGGCGCGACTTTCAACTATTGTTTATTATGATGGTGAAATTCGAGAAGATGAAACCGACGTTGTTTTCGTATCAAATGAGTGTGTTAAAATATCATTCAAGAGAAACATAACTCTTGAGGAGCTGATAACGAATATTTCGAGGAAGATTCATGTTGGAAGTAGTAGAAGAATGTCGTCGTTGCAGTACAGATTTCCAACATCATTGTTGCCATTAACTTATACAGTGTTCGAACTTTCGAACAATGATGATGTTCAAATGATTGTTGAAGCTCAAAGTAATTATTCAGACGCCGCTATTGAGATGTATGTACATTTTGTTCAAGTGCGTGCTGTTCGGGGTCAATATTTAAGCTCACACTATGGGCTGGCTGAACAAGTTGATCAAGTTGACAGCCCGACTACAGTAATGTGTAATGATTTTAATGCCATAATGGGGGGACATTCATCTGCAACTCCTTATGATATGTACCGAGGTGGGTCCACGAACAATCCGTATGGCAACACCGCGTCCAGTTCAAGGGGAAGATATTCATCTGCAAATTTCTTTGACCTTAATATGGAGATGTCATCGACTCAACAATCTGTACAGTTTCTATTTGACACGATGACTTCAGGCTCCAAGGGGAGGTATTCGACTGCGAGCTTTTTCGATCTGAATGTCGATATGCCTTCCAGTTCAAGGGGAAGGCGTGCAAGTAGTAGGTTCTTCGACCTAAATGTGGAGAGCATGGAGGAACCATCATCTCCACCAGAAGAACCACTTCGTGAGCCTGGTGCGGATGGTGCTGAGACTGGATTATTCATTCACCCAGAATCACCGTAATTCAACTCCGATGATGATAAAGTTCCAGGAAATGGTGCGGATGATGTGGAGAGCAAGTAGTACGTTCTGGCACGTACATTGCACCATAATCAGCTTCATCACCAGAATTTGCGGATATGCCTCATCTCGGTGACTATGGATATTACTCATCAATAAATAATGGAGAGTTATCTTTAGGCATGGAGTTTTCAAGCAAAGAAGAAGCGATGATGGCTATCAAAAATTACAATATCCGTAATTTTGTTCAGTCCAGAGTCAACTGATCGACGACCGAAAAATATGTATGCTACTGTGCCCGACGTGAAAACGGATGCAATTGGATGGTTCGCGTATCGAAAATGAAGAGGAAAAATAACATATGAGAACTAAAAAATATACAACGGTCCTCACACATGTTGTACTGGAGGGGTCAACCAAGATCATCCCAACTTGTACTCTGAAGTGATATGCCAAGCCATCATGCCCACGGTAAAAGCAAGCTCTCATATAGCTGTTGCAGTGTTGATTTCAGCTATACAATCGCAGTATGAGTACACTGTCTCCTATAAAAAAACTTGGTTGGCAAAACAAAATGCCATTATCAAACTTTATGGCGAATGAGATGCATCTTACAACGAACTTCCAGGTTGGTTTAGGCTGGTGCGGACGTTGAATCCTGTGACAATTGTGGACTTCGAAACCTCCTATGCATACCATAATGATCGAGTTCTTCGCGATCGATGCCAATTCTACCGAGTTTTTTGGAGTTACCCACAGTGCGTTAATGCTGCCAAATACTGCAAGCCTGTGGTCCAGATCGACGAGACTTTCTTGTATGGAAAATACAAGCAAGTTTTATTATTGACAATTGTCCAAGATGACAATCGCAACATTCTTCCAGTTGCTTTTGCTCTTGTCGAAGGAGAAGATACAGATTCTTCGAATTTTTTCCTCTGAAATTTACGTGCACATGTTACCACGAGGGAAAAAATCTGTGTCATTTCAAATCGCAGAGCTGGGATCAAAGCAGCAATGGAGTCTTTGGGTCCAATGTGGCAACCACCCTTTGTCCAACATAGGTATTGTCTCCGACACATTGCTGCGAACTATCATGGAAGGTACAAGAAGAATGATGAGCGTCAATTAATTGTGCGCATGAGTAAGTGAAAGCAAGTTAGTAAGTTATACATTTTTGATCATTTTAATTTTGCAAAGAAAGCAAGTTTGTAAGTTATACATTTTTTTGATCAGGTTACGAACTACTTCCTCGAACGTTTGAATCAATGCTTCGAGATTTGCGGGCGAAGAACGAGGAAGGATACGATTACATCAGCCTTATCGATAAAGAAATGTGGACGAACGCATATGATGGTGGATATCGATATGGACACATGACGACCAACTTGGCTGAGGCAATCAATTTAACCTTAAAGGGTGCACGTCACTTACCTGTAGCGACTTTGGTAAAAACTATATATTTTCGTTTGGGGACGCTTTTTGCAAAGCTTGGGGGACAAGCTCAAACCTGGATGCTAGGCGGTCATGTCTATCACCTAGATTAGTTGCAGATCTACAGAAAAAAATTGCTGCATCAAATGGAATGTCTGTAACAAGCTTCTCTAGAAGGCATGAAATGTTTCGTGTCATAGAGTTGCCGCGACCTCTTCAAGGGATTGAAGCTATGTCATTAAGAGTAAATCTAAGGGACAGAACGTGCGACTGCGGGTTTTTTCAAGCTCTAAAATATCCATGCTCTCATGTGATAGCAGCTTGCTCGCATACACGTCAAGACTATAACCATTTTGTGGATCCCGTATACCTACTATCTGAAGTTTTTAAGGTATACAAATTTGAGTTTCCCCCATAGGTAATGACAAAGACCCTGATAAGGTTCAAGATTGGCTTCTAATTGTACCAAATCTGAGTTTATTGAGGGAGCGTGATCGTCCAAAATCCAATCGAATTCATTGTAATATGGATATTCGAGAAAGATATAGACAAGACAGAAGATGTGGCCATTGTAGAAACCCAGGACACACTAGAAAAACATGTCCACTTCTGTTTTCATCAAGTAACAATTGATGAGGAAATGATGTATTTGTTCATCAAGACAGAAGATGTATTTGTCATCCGCCGATAGCATTACACATGTAGTCAGTGGCTCCACACATCTCCCTGTACAGTAAAGCCAAAACTGCCGAGCCCTAACTGAATAATCCGACGAGATAAAAGTCGCTAAGATGTCGCAACCACATGCAGTGAACTAGGTTGTGAGATTTGTTCGGCATCAGTAACCCTCCTATCAGCTGCAGTATGCATGCCCATGCATACATCTTAACCTCATCCTCAGAGGTGTCTGTGCTCAACTCTCAAAAATTGGCATCTAACCAATTTAACGGTATCCTACCTCTGATAAAATTTTTCGCGACACGTCCTAGGCTATCCCGACACAAAGTAGTCCAAGAACCGGAAGATATCCCCGATATCATATCTCCATCCACCGGAAGCCCCAGGTGCATAGAAATATCCTCAAGCGTGATCGTGCACTCTCCGCACGGAAGATGGAATGTATGGGTCTCCGGCCTCCACCGCTCTACTAAGGAAGAAATAAGGTATGGCTCTAACTTACAGTGACCCTGGTATCTACCTATATAACCGAATCCAACCTCTACTAAATACGGCAAGACACGATTGGGTATCACTGATAACTCCGTAAAAAGGTCATATTTTGGGACCTTTTCACTTAAGTTATTGAATGTCTAAGAGCCCATTTAGGATCATTTAGATGCATTTAGGAGCATATAGTTGCATGAGGTGGAATTCTATTTGTCGTGGCATTTTATTTTGTTATCAGTGCTGTTTTATGGGGAAGGTGTTTGTTTGATGATGTGCAGGATTTGATAGCAAGGAAAAGAAAAAAAAGGAAATGTCGTGGCATAAGAAGATTGCTGAGCAGAATGAAAATGCCGAGCTGGATTGGCATTTCGAGAGCGAACAAAATGAAAGAAGATATTTTTGGAGCCAGCTGTCCCTATTTTCACGGGATCTCTGATCATGACCGAGAAATCCGGATCTCTGATCATGACCGAGAAATCCGCCTGGATCAGCGCAGATCCTTACCTGCCCAGTCAACCACCCAGGTTGGACCATTGCCAGCTCTGCCCGATCCTCACGTGAATTAAGCATGATTTGGGATATCTTTAGAATTTTGACACCAACCTTTAGGGTTTTTCTTCCCCTATAAATA